TTCGATACAGAAATGTCTTTGTTTTTGGGTTTTGGGCGAAGTGTTTCTTTAAGGGTTCTCAATTCTTGAACCCATTTGGGATGAGTTAAAGGTTTGGCGAGTCCAAAAGGTGTTGTAGGAAAATTGGGAAGGCGATCGGGACAATACATTTCAAAAGGGGTTTTTCCTAAGGGATTAATTATTTTGCGGTTCGATCTATTGGTATCTGTTTTATGGGATAAGGAAATGACAGCGTCATAAAAGGTCGATTCTAGTTTTAGTGGGGTATAACATATTTGATAAAAATTATCGAATCGAGATATTTGGAGACAGTGGAAGTGTGTACCTTTCTTCGCTTTCGACTTGTCCTGCAACACAAGAGAAGGATGAGCAGTCAGTTTCTGTCGAACTTCATCAAAAGCAGCATGACTACTCGAGAACCAACCGGCCCACCATTGAGAAAAACCCACAGTAGACAAATAATTTGACTCGAAAGCATAGGGGTAAAATTGCATCGGGGTTTTTGGTAAAAGCTTGACGAGCTCCCGACTAATCGTGGATTCTGTTAGTTTGGACCTTGGAGAAATATCGAGGGGGAAGAAAGGCAAGAACTGGCTCAGACCAAACTGCCTCGAAAAGAGCTGGGGGTAGTAAGTTATAAACTTAAAATCTTTAGCCTGAAAACCCGATACCAATACATCATGGGTCAAATAATTGCTCCATACATCGATCAATTCCGATTGCAACCCAGGAGTCGAGGCAGGGAACCTTGACTTAAACCAAATTGGTCCCTTGAGTTGGTCACTTATTTGTCCAGTAGTAAAGGGAGCCAAAGTCGAATCGAAAGTAAACCTTGTCAACAAAAAATTAAGATATCTACAATAGGCTGCTTCATCAGGCTTTTGGTGAGGATGACGAGAAGATAATCGAGCACCTTCTATAGTCACACTTGGGGGAATGGTGGAAGATGGGGGAAGGATGCTCTCAAAAATAGAGTTTAACCATAACTGTACAAACCAAATGGGGCCAGAAAAATTTCCCGACGCTTTAGGAGTGCTCAAAATTTCGACAGCCTCGTCGAAAGCGGTATATACATGGGCTAATAAAAGCTTAGCTAAACATATCCTAGGCTGGCCTACGTGTAGGAGATATGCAAGGTCAAACAGATGAGAGGAGATTTGGATGGATCGGGGGCAAAAAACATGGGTACATAGCCAATATACCAAAAATGCTATGTGTTCTTCGTCAGTCACAGCCATTGAATCGTCATCGACGAAGTGCTTCTCAAGAAAATGTCCGTAGGCCTTCGATTCCCAATTGATTTTAGAGCTCAAAGAACTACTCGAAGGACATGCACCCTTAAAATACTTTTCCCCTATAGGCTTCAACCCAGTAATAGCCGCGATTTCGAAAAGGGTGGGCGAAAGACGACCGCAGGGTAATTCCAAAGCGTGTAAGTCCTTATTCCACAAATGAACAGTGGACAGAATCATGGCCATATCCAAATAAGACAAGTCACATCGGGACAGGTGCAAAAAATCGAAAATTCCCACGCTTCTCCAGTGGTTCCCGAACTTAGCTTTAACCCTATCGAACCATCTAATATACAAGGGTTTTTTGGAAGGAGGGCCTGTCCTATACACCTTAGAGGTAAGATTAAAAAAATCAACCCTAACTTCAGGTTGGTGTACAAGAGTCGAACTAGTTGAGAGGTTGAGGGGAGTGAAAATTCCATCTATAGGACGAAGAGGACCCCCGAAAGCAAAATTAACACCCTCAGCAGTATAAGGAATAAGTACATGTGTCTTAGCAATTTTGCGGGAAGCCTCCTCCATCAAAGGGACTGGAGCGAACCTCTGGTTGTTGATCTCTAGCAGGTTAGAAGGCAATGAGGAAAGGGGTGGAGCGGAAAAGTCAGAAGATTTTGACGAGGTAGCCATTTCAGTAAACTTAAGAGAATAGAAAGAGAGAGGTTAACGGAGGAGGTAGCAAAGATGAAGACAAGAACTCAAGGAAGACGATGGAGGTGCAGGCAGAGGGTAAAAGTTCGCGTAAAAACCAGAATAAAGACCAAGGGAGAGGTTAAAGGGAAAATCGCCTAGGGAGTTGGAAACGACGGAGGTGAAAGGTAATTAATGTAGCTTGTACTGAAAGGCAGCAGACTGACGAGACGGCGACGTAAAGCAAAAACGAAACCTAAAACCCTTTTTACCCTAGAACCCCAAAAACCCTAAACCCTAAGTTCTGTGGGTCTCCAAACACTAAGGCGGGAATATTGAAAGAATATAAACAAACTATTCATATTCTTCCAAGGGGGCATTTTGTTAGTGGCAAATCGAGAAAAGCGATCGAAAATGAAGGAAAGAAATGTGACTCGATAAGATAAACAAAAATTCATTCGATGTCTAATTAGAAGTACGTAGCATATAGCATCGAGAAGCACAATCGAGAATCGAGTGAATGATAACCAAATGCCTGTTGTCGAATAAAAACTAAGTCATACGAGACCAAGGTTAAAAAGGAATCGTAAGCAATTTGCAGTTCTCGAAAAATACAAAATCGAGAGTAAAGAAAGCCAATGTGGACATCGAGACTTTGGCCAAATCGTGAAAGGAAGTAAGTCAAATGCACGTATAAGAGAGCGGTTTCGAAACCATGGAAGAAAGTCGAAGATCGTGAGAACGTGGGAAACCGTAGAAGATAAACTGCCGTATGCACGTAGAACGTGGTAGCAGTCTTGTTAACTGCTCCTGGAAAGCTTGAACGATGCCCTATAAATAGAGCAAAGAAGGACAGAACGGGGGGAGAGGGAAATTGGCAGAGAACAGAATCAGTAGTGAAAAGTCTACCGGAGAAACGACGAACACCATGAAGCTTCTGGCAATCTGGATTTCCTTGCTCACTGAGTACATTTACCGCTTTCTGTATTTTCCTTGGTAATTTATTTTGATGCAACTTAAATTCAGCAGTTTTATATTTCTGTATTTTCGATTCCTTGTCATTTCAATTCAATGAAAGTTTAAGTTTTTGCATTTAAGTTTCCCTGTTATTTAACATTCTGCAAATCTCGATTTCCTGTCATTTACTTTTCTTGCAATCTCGATTTCTTGTCATTTATATTTACGCTGTTTTCGATTTCTTGTCATTTACAATTAATGCAAATTTGGGGTTTTCGCACTTTACATTTCCTAGCAATTTAATATTCTGTTTCTCGATTCGATACTTTTACTATTTTCGGTATTTTAAATATAAAATACTAAAAAATAACATTTTGATAGGTTGTAACCCGTCAGACTCTCATACACGTCTTCGATTGAAAGTCAAATTGCTAGCCTAAATAAAAAGAATTTACGTGGTAGAATTTTGGTTAGGACCTTTAGAATTGAAATCGATCAAAATTCCACCAGAAACACCATGCAATTATCTTCATGTGAAAGTCCTAATTTCCTACTCAGATTTGGTGCATGTTTGAGCAATCATTTTTAACTCACGTGTTTCGATTTTTATTTTTTTTTGTCAAATTGTTAAAAGACGCAAAAGCTACAATCGAAAGTAGCTTTTAAATAGACGCGGATCCAATTTTTGTCTAAAACATGTTTTTAGTGGTATCAAATTGCTTCCCAAGTATAACTTTAATCTTTTGCCACCAAACATAATCTTTTGTTGTTATATCAAACAGGATGTTTTAAGAGCTTTACAGGACAAGTCATTTTTAAAACATGTGTATTTTTTTTTTTTTGAAGTTTTTAAGATTGAATTCATGACTAATTTCACCAAATGTAAGCAAACGTGATTATGTTAAAAGTTTAAATGTGAATTTAAATCTGACGATAAAATTAAAATAGTTGAATAATTAATAAAATAAAAAAAATCATAATTTAATATATTTTAATGTTTTAAATTGAAAATGATTTTATATTGTATAATTAGTTTATGTTTTATTTATGAGAATTTTTTTATTTTTAGTCTTCCTTAAAAATAATTACTATTGGTATTAAAGTAGATGGTTCTTATAATAACATGGTGTTATACATTTATTTATATTACCCATTAAAAATTCCTGAAAACTTTAAATTTTAATCCAATAAATCTTAAAGATTAACATACATTCACCAATCCCATAATATATTATTTTTCAATCGCTTTTTTTAGTTCATGATTTACAAACTAGATCGAATTGTGGTGCTTTTGAATCAAGTGAACAAAAAAAAACCTACACATGATTCATGCTAATTGCAGAGGCTTCTCTTCAGTGATGAAATAATATTGACTAAACGTATAGACGCAGAAGATTTCTTAAAGAAATACTAATATTCTAAGATATAGTAAAGAAAAACGGTATCAATAATAATAATAATTTAATCAACAAGGTAGCGCAGTAATTATTAAACTAACATAAATAAAATTTTAATGAAGAACGTGATTCATAACCGACACAACTCTGTAGGACAAAACATTGAAGTTAAAAGAATGATGACAGTGATAACGACCAAATGAGTATGAAATACTGCATTCTCACTAGCATAAATCATTGAAATCGTGATTAAATAAACCATAAATAATGAAGAGTCCGCTATAATGTGATCACAGAATAAGATATAGGATTATATAAGTTATAGTTGAAGCACTAAGCAAAAGCAAGCCACACAAGCCAAGCCAACAAAGATGGCTTGGAACCAAAAGTAGTGCACAAAGTTTATCTCAAAAGTTAGAGATAAAAAAAACATATAAGCATAAACGTCACTGAGATAGGAAAATAGGTAATATTCACAAGGTACAGGTGGAGGAACATTGTATGTTAAGGTGTCAACAGGAACAATGAGTTTTGGATATAAAGCCAGCAACTGGGGACTTCACTCTGACCACCATGATAGGAACTCCAATAAGCAAAAGCCAATTGATACGTGCATATCACAAAACACACACACACTCTCTCAAAAAATCCCCTATCACCTAACTCACCTATCCTCAACTCGAGGCCCTTTAGTCTCAGCAAGCAGCAAGTGAGAGTGGTATACAACATGGAATATACTTATTCAGCAGAGGCTGCAGAGGCAGAAACTTACACCAGTAGCAGCACCACCCCATCATGTGCCATGAGATCAAAGAAGAAAAACAACAACACAAGAAGGTTCAGTGATGATCAAATCAAATCATTGGAAACCATGTTTGAGACAGAGTCAAGGCTTGAGCCTAGAAAGAAGTTGCAGTTGGCAAGAGAGCTTGGATTGCAGCCAAGACAGGTTGCTATATGGTTTCAGAACAAGAGAGCTAGGTGGAAGTCAAAGCAACTAGAGAGAGACTATGGTATACTCCAATCCAATTACAACAGTTTGGCCTCACGTTTTGAAGCTCTTAAGAAGGAAAAACAAACATTACTAATTCAGGTACTTTGTCCAATACAAATTAATATATTCTGTAGAAATGAGTAGGGTAAATACTAGGATTAAACTTAGATAAACTCCATAAGTGTTTTTTGTATTGTTCTTCAATTAGAATTAAAGTTTTACTTCATTAATTGGTATATGGATATGCAGATTCTTGAAGTGAAACTTCAGTTCTAACTTTTGTCCAAGATACAATTCTTTTTCTATCCATTTTATGCTATAAGGTAATCGTTTTGGTATATCTATTGTCAACAGCTGCAGAAGCTGAATCATCTAATGCAGAAGCCGTTGGAGCCAGGTCAGAGTCTCATACAAGTTGAAGCAGCAAACAGCATGGACAGTGAATCAGAAAATGGAGGCACCATGAAATGTGAGCATGAGGGAAAGCCAAGCCCATCAATGGAAAGATCAGAACATGTACATGGTGTTCTGTCTGATGATGACGCTAGCATAAAGGTGGAAAATTTTGGCCTAGAAGATGAACATGATCTCTTGAACTTTGTTGAGCATGCTGATGGCTCCATGACTTCACCGGAAGATTGGAGTGCTTTCGAATCCAATGATCTCTTAGGCCAAACAACCAGTGATTACCAATGGTGGGATTTCTGGTCCTGAATGAAACAGAACAACAAAAATTTTGTGGAGGAATGTATGCGTATTAGTGCTTCATGTTTGGTTCCATGTTTTTGCATGCAAATTTTCACATTAACCAAGCAGCTAGTTATAGCTTCCACATTTTTTAGCAAAATTGGCTTATTTTTTCTCTCTTTGGAACAAGTTTCCAGACACACCTTAATTAATAAGCAAAGAAACATCATGAAACACGACCTTAGATAAGAGCAGAGCAAAACAAGTTTCTCATATCAGGCTACGCGATACCATGAATTCCATAAACTTCTATGTAAAACAAAATTGTTCAAACACTTCAAGAAGGAAAAAGATCTTAATTATTAATAACTAATTCACAGAGATACATGCCAGATCCATGTAATTTATGAAGCTGTATGTTTCGTTTTCTAATGGCCATTGAAACATAAAAGTTCACACTAACTGCTATCCAACTTCAACGGCCAAGAGGTGCCCCACTCCACATTATTTTGGTGTGGTGTGGTGTGGACACAAACTATTAAATAAAAAATTGAATTAATGAAAAGCAACTACCACAATCAGGGTATTTATTGCATATGAAAATTGATGACCAAATTGAAGGCAAATGGCTATTCCAAAAATTAAATAATATTCAAAGGAAGACCTAGACGACTATTCAATTATATGCAAATATAAATTTGATTCGGCATGTGAAATAGCAATAAGTTCTTCAATGTTCATCATTTGAGATTTGCACTGTTACTGAAACCTAGCAAAAAGAGGCTTCTGAAGAGGGAAATGATTATATCAAACTAGGAAATCCTCTAAACACTATCAGAGCATAAACCGGGTTAAAAAATAGTTTATACACTTGTTCAAAAATATATATTACGCATGTAATAACAATTTTCTGTAACACTTTTTCTTTAGCCATATCCATCATTCCAAGTACTTTTTCACGTTATCTTCTCCCTTCTTTTCTTATTTCTCTCCTTACTGAGCACTATCTTCGCAGAAAAAATTACACAAAAGACAATTTTATAGAGAAAAGTGTGAATTAAAAGTAAAAAATGGAGTACAAGAAAATTAGTTGGATTCAGAAAAGTTAAAAAAGTTCTATCCATACTTTTTCTTTTCTTTTTTCTTGGTATTTTTTTAAATAAAAGAGAATAAAGACCTACTACCAGGACTGTTTCTAAATGATTCAATGTTTCTGCTTTTCTAAATTTCTTGTTATGCGCAAACCGGAATGTTTTAGCTCCTAAAACCAAACATGCCCTTTCTGGTTAATTCTAACGTGTATCTTTAAGATAGTGTTTGCATGCATCTCTTACGAAATAATCTAAATAAATATATATAAATATTATATTTCAATATGTTTTAACTTAAAATTTCATTCGATTATATGCAAATATAAATTACATTTGAATAAGTCAAAATTAAATAAAAATAACAAAAGTAATATATTGAAAAATTATAATTGTCTAAATCTAAGTAAATAATATTTTTTAAAATACAATATTTAAATGAATTTCTAGAATTATTTTACAATATTTAAATGTATTTAAATAAATACAATATTTAAAAAAGTAAGAATATATATAACACTTCTTGTAATATATAAAAAAAACTTAAAAATTACACTAGTCTTATTTATATAAAATGATAAATATTTATTTAATTAAATTACACACCTATACTTTTTATTATTTGAATTTAAAATACTTCATTTTATTTATCATGTCACACAAACTCACAAAGTTAATACTTAAAAAAAACAAAAACAAAAACTATCAAAAATTAAAAATTGTAAAAATTTCAGCAGAACTAAAACTAAGATTTTACTCACAAAAAAATAAAATACATTTAAACTTAAAATGATTTATTTTCTCAAATATAACAGTTATATATAAACATGAAATTATTAATAAAACATATATATAAAGGTACATAATAGAAGAGTACAAACATGAAGTGTTGAAGATATGTTTTTAAAATATTTGAATATTGTTAATTTTTTTTTAAGTCAATGGTTGTAAATTTTGTAATATTATATATATTTTTATAAGCAAACCTTTTTTGAAAAACAGAATACAAGACATACTCTAAGGCGACTATGATTAATAAAAGAACATTAAATATTGTTTGTCTTGATCTTACATTATATTCACAATCTAATCTTTATCAAATTCAAAATATAGATGGGTAAGATAGAAACATAATTTTTTTAAAAAACCCTAAGTTATTAAAACCATTATATTTAGACTTTTAATAAAGGAAAAGGAATAAGAGAGACTATTATAGTAATGAAAAAATAAGTGAAATTTGAAAAAAAAAAAGAATTATATTTTATAAATATAATCAAAATAGACCATGTGACTGTATGAAAAGAAATAAAAAAATAACATATATTTTTCTATATGGAGGAAACTAAAACGAATGTAATGGCTAAATATATTATTCAGTAATACGTCACATCATACGCCAGCCATACACGAAGCCTTATTTTATTTTATGTGTCATTTTTAAATGTTTTTCTCAAGTAATAAATATAAATCAATTTAATAAAAGTATTGTCCCGTTCCCTACGCACAACACCAGTTCAACAAAAAAAAAAAATTCTTAGCTTAACTACATATTTCATGTTTTATAAGAGCTTTGGACCATGTAAAGTGTAAAAAAACAAATGTATGCATGTGTTTTATATATTGTAATTAATCATATAAAAAAATTTATCCTCCATTCAGAATAAGACTTATCCTTGGTGCATCTAAAGAATCTTAATCCTAACAACAACAATCCTAAATTCTGCTTTTATTTTTAGAAATTGGTATGGGTTTATTTTATATCTAGAGTAACATTATCAAAATTTAAATTTTGAACTATTTGTTTTTTTTTTAACTTTTTTTTCATCAATGATTTTCATATTTACTTTGATTTTCTTATAATTTTACCACGGGATAATATATATATATATATATATATATATATATATATATATATATAAAAATAAAATAAAGTGAACAATTTATCTTATTATTTATTTCAAACCTATTTTATCACCTGTATATATAATTTGTTCTCCTATAAATATAAATATATAATTATTGTAATTTAAAATAACACAACAATATTATATAAAATAAATTATTAATTTAAAATAAACATATCAAATTAAAATTTGTTACAAAATAACAATTATATATAATTCGTATATATATTAATACTATACAAATTTATTTTAAAGTTAATTTTACGTCACATAAACATTGACATTAAATTAGTCTCAAAGATTTAATACTTATCATACTACAACTCAATTGAGTGTTGAATACTATAATACTCTGAACGATTAAGATAAATTTTAATATTTATATATTACTAATGCATACATACAATATATAATCACTATTAACTCTCTTAACTTGATTTTTTTATTTATATGATTTCAATAATAATAGAGTTGGAATAATCTCTTATTCAATCCCCAATTTAATATTTATGCACACTATATCACACGTATAAAATATATTTAATAACATTATCTAATTAAATTTTGATATTTAACTTAACATTCTAAATGTAAAATACATAACAATTAATTTCATTCAATTAAAGAGACATATTTTAAAGTCCATAAAGATATAAGAAAATATTTTTATTTAACTTTAGTTATTTTTAATAAAAATGGTCAAGTAAAAATTGAAAGCTTTAAGCGGATTTCAAATCGGTTAAACAAATTTTAAATGATTAAGCGATATACACTTCCAATGCTCGTTCCAACGTTAAGTTAAATTTTCACAAAATTGAATTATAGTCACTATAATATTAAGCATAATTTAAGCGTTTTTAATACTATCTTAAATCCTTAGATGAATTCATCATAGTAACAAATTGCATAATACGTTGTATACTTTATTTTGAAAACTTTAAATCATATTGAATTCAAACACTATCATCTAAATTAAAAAAGCAACTCACCAAACTATCATCACTTTTAATCTCACAAAATCATTATTAACTCACGTTCAAACTCAAATAATTAATACACAATAAATGTAAAAAATCACAATTCAATTTCTCCCAACTTAAGCAATGTGATCAATCATTTTCACCGTCCATATCTTATAACCTATAATATTATGAAAATTAAATAATAATTAGTTTCCTTTACCTTAATTATAATATATCCAAGCTAGAAAATTATCAAAACTTATAAATTCTTAAGAAGTAAGCTATTCACCAAAAAATCCTAATTTATCAAATTTAATATACCATAATATTTTTAAATTAGTCAAAACTATATGCAGCCCACATGTAAATGTAAATGTTATAAAAATGGACAAAAGAAACTTAATCTATTAAAATTTTTTATAAGAGAGAATTCTTCCACTTGACTTCAAAAACATTATAACATTAAATCTAAAAAAAATATAAGAGTAAAAATGAAAAATCTAGAACAAAATTTAAAAAGATTATAATTTTGAAAAAATAAAATTTAAATAATTAAATATTTTTATTTATAACTTTTTTTCCTTTTTAACCTAACTAGTTAAAATTTGATATATGTTTCCTCTTTATATCATTTCTTCTCTTAAAATGACTTACAACAAAATTAATCTTTGATAGATAAATATATAATATTATTTGAATGAATCATAATTTTTTTATTTTTTTTCTTGTATACATACAACTAATTTTGTCTAAACTCTAATAAATATATTATTTTATAATCGTCTTTTAATTATTAATTATAAATCTAAACGAAAACCTCAGTTTCCTAAAACCAATTTCTTACATTTCTATTATTAAATAAGAAAAATACGAACATATTATTTTCCATTGATTAAATTAATTAAAAATCACAAAATCTGATAGGTCTCACAACGTATTTAGTTGTTGCTTTCAGTAAATTTTAATTAATAAAAGAGTGCGTTTCTAACACTCTTTATTAAATAATATTTTTTCCCACCATTAATACCAACAATTTTGTAATTTAAGCTAGAAGTGACGTTAGAGTGTACATAATATATAAAGACTCAAAGTTCTTATCAGGTTCATTTTAACTTAAATTATGGAAAATAAATAATTGTAAAAAACGTCAGTCAAAATTATTATAAAATATTAATTTTCTAAAATAAACTGAATTAAACATAACTTACCTGTCAAGAAAGAGTAGGAATCAACAGTAGTTCCCCAAAATAATGCAATATATGGACAAAAAATAACTAAATTTTGGCATCAGGGGGGTTCCTGGAAGTTTTATAATCCAAATTTTTCTTCTTTAAAAAGAGATTATGAAGTGGATGGGATAACCATTCCTTCTATTGAACAATGAACTGGGTGATGAAGATTGATTATTTTTTTATTATAAGTCTCCTTCAACTTAAGAGAAGTATACCTGTGATATATATAAATAAATAAAAATGGTAGGGTCTGAATAATAAACAAAAGACATCATGTGAAGAAATATAAGATTAAAAACAACACTGCTATTTAGTGGAAATAACAGAAACACAGAATGCATGAATATAACACTTGAAAACCCTTTGCAATTGCATGTAACAAGAGTAAAAGAATCTGTTTGCACGATATGATCACACATTCATAACAATAGTGCTATTTTGTTCACTTCAATAACAATATACTCTTTACTTTTTACATTTTATGGACATGACAAAATGAAGTTTTTATTTGTTCTGTGAAAAGCAGAATAGAATGACATGCTATGAAAAGGTTAATAAGAAAAATCTTGCATTTCTCTTGTCAATGTCAACATCGAAGAGAATAACCCTTCTCTCTCTGTCACATGGTTGACTGCGTTTAGGGGTTTTAAATGTTCCACACCACGTGGATGAGCAACACTCTATTAGCCCCATACAAAGTAGATAGAATAATATATAAATGTTGACATCAAGTTATAACTTGATGCCTTTTGTTTTTGACATAAAAAAACTGGTGTGTTTAACCGCTGTACTATCTCCAAGATTTTTCAATTCCTGTTATAGTTTATGGATCCTGTAAAGATCCTTAAGATTTTAGTCAATGGGGATAAATAATCACATTATGTTGATGTCTTTTTTTCTTATTTAGTTAACTGGTGAAGGTATCTGCAATTGGGTGTGATATCAGTTAGAAAATGCTGATAATTAACTTGTGGAAAGTTATTCTGTCATCTTCTCATGCAGTGAAGAGAATGTTTATATTCCATGACATTGTTATCTACTGTATGTCTCAACATTTTTAGCAAGCACATGAATCCTTAATAGTTTGTTTGATAGAAATTTTCCATAAAGTAATTTATTTTTATAGAGAATTTAAAATATTTTATAAAATATTTTAATTGGATAAAAAAATTAAAAAAATTTAAAATTATAGAAGTAATTTAATTACTAAAAAAAACTATATATTACTCTTTAAGAGTTAAAATTTAGAGTATTCCTTAATTGGGATATTATGTTGATTTTTTTAAACATTGTTAAGTAGTACAAGTAAAAATATTATTGGCTAGATGATCTGTAAATTCAATTTACAAGAATTGAATAATTTATAAATGAAAAACATTATAATTGTATTCATCTTTCGGGTTAAAGATAATTTTTTTTGCTGGTTTTCTATTTATAAAAATCTTATTATTATTATTATTAGCCCATTAAAAAAAATGCACAAACTTTAATAAAGATACTGTCATTTTAATCTTATTTGGGATTTCGATGAATTGAGATTAGTATTTGAACTAATATTAAATAGTTTTTTTTAATTGAAATTGATTTGAGATATTTGTTTATTGACGTAAACATTAGTGCATAAAGGTGATTTTATGTCACCTAATTTTTTTTAGATTCAAAAATAATTGATTTAAAAAAATACGATAGTAATTTAATAAATAGTGGGTGAGACTTTTATGTTGGACTCATATAAAAAGTGACGTAAAAATGTTTTATATCATCTCTTTATGGGTTTGACTTTAAAAATTGTAACAATTTTTATATCAGACTCATAAAGGTATGATGTAAAGAGAAATTTTACGTTGATCTCTTATACGTCTGATGTAAAAGTTGTGTTCTATTTTATTATTGCACCACTCTCTCGTCTCGTGCAACAAAGATTTTTTAGAATGATGACAACAACGATGACCAGCTCCTCTCAAGGTATATTTCAACTTCAGTGAGTGACGAAAATACTTTTATTGTGTCCCATTTGTAGTGGTTGACATTTCTCTCTGATTGAATTCGAGTTTTACAACATTTTTTGTATATTTGATGTTAGTATTCTGTGTGTCTCGTCTCCTCTTTTACGTTGAAATTGAATGCATTTTTTGTATATTTGATGTTAGTATTCTGTGTGTCTCGTCTCCTCTTTTATGTTGAAATTGAATGCTTTCACTGAATTGTTATTAATATTGAACTGTTGTAGTTAGTATTCTATGAGTTTGAATCCTACTTTTTTGTTGTTGTAATTTGTATTTTGGGGTTTAGGTTGTTATTGATGTTGTTTTGTGTATTAGGATTTTATAATGAAAAGAAAATGAAAAATGTTTGAAGTAAGATAACTTTTGACTCGGATGTCGGAGTCAGACGCACAACATATCAAAACGAAGAGAAAAAAGAGAAGAAGAGAGAACAAATGCCCGAAGAAGATTTGTCCTAATAGTTTTTTCAAAATATGCTCCTAAGTACATGTAATACACAAAAGTTTATGTGGGTATAATCAGAAGTAATTGCTTTCAACATTTGTTAAGTTCATTTACCCTTGTGTGTATTGTATGTTAATTGGAGTCAAATTAATATTTCAAGTATTTCAAAATTCATCTATATCTACTATCAAGACATGATATTACAAAATAACAAGGTTTTTCGTTCAATATTTCTAGTTTGTATTGTATTATGTACTTTAATATTTACGTAGCTTAGTTTTTGTATTATTTTTTATTTTTGTATTATATTGTATGTTTGAATTATATGTCTATTGAAATATGATATCTGGATTACAAGAAAAAAAAAGACAAAATTTATGTCGATTATCCTCAGGATCCGACGTAAATTTATATCGGTTACCCTTAGGTTCGACGTAAATTTACGTTTCCTATATTAACGTTGAACTTGTTTCTGACGTAAAAAGGCCAAAATAACATACTTAAAAGTCCAATTTTATACCAGTGAAAGTAGGGATAGATGTAACTTTTTTCTCAATCTAAAATACAAATATTTTAATTTATATCAACTATTATTATTTTCATTTAATGTAATGGATATTATTTCTCAATATAAGTTAATTAGAGTTTTTTTTACCAACGCAGGTTATAGGGTTAATATTTTATCTGTTACTGAGAAATTTCTCAATCATCATTAACATTATTATTTTTTAATCAATATGAATTAGGGTTTTTTTTATGTTAGTGAAACTTATTTTTTTGTTAATATAGGTTAGAATTTTTCATTGGATGACTTTTGCGAAGATTTTGTTAATCAATGTAAACCAATTGTTTCGTTTGATACTTGTCAAGGGTTATATTCTTTGATTGATGTCTACAATGATCTCCACAGAAAATATTTTGTAATTTCTATATTGTTAATGTTGTTGTTTTTTTTTTTTCCAATTTCATTGGGTAGGAAACTTATAACCAATATCAAAGGAGACATTTTTTTTCAAGTAATGTTAGTCGGAAAAGCTTTGATAAACAAAATTAAAATTTAATAAATTTAAATTATTTTATCTAAATAAATTATTTAAAATAAAAACAATCTAAACGTGATGTATTTAATTTTAAAAATATAAAAATAAAATAAAAACTATCCAAATACAAGGAACATGTATTGGTAATTTTGATATTCAAACACCATAATATAAAATTGTTATCCTAGTACACCTATCATTTGCAGGTACACAAATTCAGGTAAAGAAATAATTGAATAGTTCATGCAAGTAAAGGTTTGCAAAGTGTAGTTACCAAAAATTGATGTTTTACTTCACTGATTTACACTGCAACCACTGAGTAGAAGATTTGGCATTGGTAATACATCGTTGGTCAAAAAGTCAGGGAAAACATCATTCTGAGTCAGAATTTCTGACAGATTACCTAATTACCTTTCTCATACATTAAAAAAAATGTTCAAATTCTATTCTGAAAAAAGTGATACCAGTCATCAGCTATAGCTTCTACATTTGTTCTGGTGATGTGTTTGGAAACATAAGCAATTCTTTTATTGTTTATATGCATTTTGCTTTTTCTAAGATATATAATTATGTAGCTGTTAATAGTTTATAAATTTGGGAAGATAAAGTATAGGAAAGTTGGTAGCTACATCACACAATCATGTTTACCATGTCACTATCTATTGTGAATATATATATATATATATATTATGGTAAAATTATTGTTTTAGGAACTGTTTGAATTTTTTCTATAAATACTTATAGAGAAAATGAAAAAAATATATTGTATTTTAATTAAATTCTTTCTAAAAAATATCTCGTTTCTTAAATTATTGTACTGTTAAAATATATTTTTTATTTTAATGTTTACTTAAACTCTTTCTAACAAATATCTCGTTTTATGATTTAATTCTTCCATTAATTTTTATTTTCTAAAATGTAGTTTAATTAACCACTTTTCACGCGTATTTATTGTCTAATCCATTTAAAAGGATAAGATATCTTTTTAGTTTCCACATCTAATAAGGTTGCCTACCATGGAAGATGGAAAAGGTACATGAGTTTATCTTATTTATTTCAATCCACTAGTGAGAAGATGTGAAAAGTTGTGTTTTATTTTCTTTACAAAGGAAGAAAAAAATTAAGAAAAACTAATAAAGATAGACAAAAATCAATTATATTACTTTATATATATATATATATATATATATATATATATATATATATATATATATATATATATATATATATATATCGATAGAATAATAAATATTTTAAAGTGTTATGTGTATTTTTTTTATTTAGATCATTCTATCAAAATAAATCTATAATCATAATAATATCTTATAAACATAAATTAATTAATAACTCTTATACAAATAAAAAGTCTCTCTTAAAAAAAAAAGGAAAAAAAAATCCAAATGTAATATATATATTCAAAGAAACCCATGAGAATGGGTGACCCAAATATTCAGCTTAAAGACCTCTTTCATTTTAAAAAGTAATAAAATAAATCTGAGTCAGAAAAAGCCCACTCTAACCCAAAAAATCCAATAGGGTAGCTCCAATGGGCCAAACAGGGCCTATTGAGTATAAGGAATAGACCATAAAGGTTGGATATGTATAGAGCAAACTGTTGGATCTACTGTTTATTGGATTTATACAAATAAATAAATAAATCAATGTAATTATTTCAAGAAGTAAATTGTTCATACAAGAATGTGAGTTATAAATGAAAACTTTTACCATTAACAGAATGGGCTTGGGTTTTAGTTTTAGTTTGGGTTGTAGGAGATCTCTTTCTCCATTCATTACAGGGACCAAAATTTAGATGAAGTTATATATTTTGTTGTTTTCATTTCTATGTTTTCTTATAATTTTTTTAATTTTTAGTGACATGGATTCATTGTAAAGACTCGCATTCATTTTAGGATAACTTTTTTTTTTCACACAAGATATTGAATATTTTTACCTATTTGAGCAAGTTTTGTACTAATTATGTGAATGAAATTTATTGGGAGTTCAATGTTCACATAATTAAAAAGAAAAAAAATGATATTTTCTTGTTTTGTTAGCAATAAATAAAAGAGTGTTTCAAAAATTTATATTTTACCTTTTGTGTTTTTTATAATTTTAAATTTTAAAAAATATCTTAATAATGACAGTTTAAATGTTTCAAAATATTTTCCTCCTCTTCTCTCTTAAAAAATAAATAAAACAGGAAATTTTATTTAAAAATAAAACTCTCCCACTCTGTTTTCTTCAAACCAAATATTATATTAAACAAATTTTAGGTTTTGGGTTTTATATATAAAAATATTTTGTTAAAAGAGACTCCACAAACGTATTTTTCAATTCATTAAAAAAAGTTAGTGATTACTTTTGAGTAATAAAACAATAAAAAAAAATAACTATATCTACTTGATAGAGTAATTAAATATTTAATACATTCCCTTGTGGAATAACTTTTATTTGTCTAAATTAAAGAAGTTAATTAATTAAATTTTTAGTGACGGAATGATTGTACTTTGTAAAAGCCCATTTGTCATTTAATGGGATTGGGTTAAGATTTTGACTTTTGCTCTGGCAACCAAAATGGTAAAGTATGGGCTTATGATTAGGCCTACCATGCTATTCCTAATAAAGGATGATTATACCTCCAAATTTAGGGTAGGCCTATGTAGCCACCATTCATTGGGTACTCAAACAATACACTCCATAATGGGCCTTATCATTTTTTCTTTCTTCAAATCTATCATTTACATCCAATTATCAAAGCATGGCCTAATAATTAAATTATATATAAAAAAATAAACACAAGGGTCTAATAATTTTCAATAGTATCTATATTTTTGTATTAATATTTTATCAAAATTCAGTTTTCATGAAAAGAAAAAAGAAAAAATAAAATGAAAACACAGTTGTAATGAGTACTTAAAAACTAAAAAAATGTTGTTTAGTTGAAAATATAATGCCAAAATAAGTATAACTGTGAAGCAAGCATGGTGGAAGCAAATTAAGTATATGTTTTATTGATTGCATCTTCATAATTCATAGTTGACTATACACATGTTGCCAATCAAATGTTGTCCATCCAGAAAAGTTGTCTGCCCAAAACGAAACTAGTGTGCATCAAGGGACACAAATAACATGTGAGATTATATTTAATTCATGTTAACGTCCATGTCGCTTCATTTGGTCAAAATCCATGTCACAGACACAATTTGCACCTTAATTTAATCTAATTAATAATGTTCCTTGCGTTGAACAATTCCAACTTTAATTTCAATGCAACCAAACCAGTCAACCTCAGGACCAGAAAACGGCTTCATGCCCTGTATATTCCTACTCTTCCATCGTCAGTTCTAGTCATATATCATTATGTTATGCCAAATATTGAATGTAACCCTAAGGAAATTGAAGAGGGACTAAGAGAAAGAAGAATGGCTATCTTGCATGTGACCATTTTCATCATCCATTATTCTATTTTTACAATTCATTATTATTTGCTTCAAAAAGGAAGTTGAGGAGGAAGTTTCTCAATTTGGAAGTATATTAAACACTCTTCATATTTTAACAAATTTATTCAAATCGATATTCGTTAAATTTCTTTTTAATCTTGTCGCTTTCCAATTTGAAATCACAAATATGTATCTCGATCCTACACACATTTATCTATAACCAAATCAATATTCATGCTAAAATCTCCACATTTATGGAACATATTATAATATTGACCATTGATCCCAATATATTTGATATAAAAATAATAGTATTAAATAAAATTTTTGAAATAAAAAAATCAAATGGAATTTATAAAATAAAATCCAACCTCGTTTTTTATGCATAATATTAAGAGACATTATCTAGTTTTAATTGATTATAAAAATCTGTCCTCTGATTAATTTGTTCAAGATTTGTTTTTTTTTTTAACAAACTCGTTGGGATAATTATACATATAAATGTTTTAATTTTCATGGCATGTGATAACAACTTTTAATTATGGATGAGAATTTCAAAAATGATCTTTGTTTTTTCACAAATTCATTTAACAAACTGATCATTTCTAAATCTATCAGTAGGATCGGTTAGATCGAAACTAATAACTGAACACTACATAATCTTTTAATCTTTAATAAGGGAGACACTGAAACTTAAATTCATACTAGATTGAGACTAATAATTTAATACTACATCAAAGTAAATCAATTAATACTAATACTCTTACTTAAAATAAAGTTAAATTTATTAAAACAAGAAATTATTATTATCTATATAAATTAATAAAATAATAACAATAATAGAATCACGAGAGCCACTTGCCTTAATATATAACATGTAATTTTTGATTTATTTGTTTTGCATGGGATGAAAAGAGTACATTCGGGATTCCAAATGGTTTTGTGGAGTGAGTGTAATGAATGAAGTGCAGAGAGAAAAGGGGATTTTAATGTTCAAGTGGAGGAGAGAAATTTAAAGAGCGTAGTAAAAGCAAATAGGATGTTTACCTACTTAGAACTTGACCCTACGAAAACAATTAATGTGTTTATAGACTTTTTATGTCGACCAATCACGATCATAATAATATGAATTTCGTCGTCACCTTGCTTTTCCACCTACATGTTTTGTATAATAAATTTTAAATATTAAATTACATGACAAATCTTATTTTATTTTTTATATTGTTATTTGCTTCCTCCTTTCAAATTTTCATAATTTTTCTACAAATATCCATCCAACTCAATCAACCCAGAACTTACTCATCATTGTTGCGCATTTATTTCGCTCCACTTGTGTTTCTCATACATATGAAGTAGGGCTGACATACAATTAATTGTATTCAAATATTCGAGTTTTTTTTTATAAAAAAAATTATAAAACAATATATTGGAGTTAGTTTAAGTTCCCTCATAAATAATTGAAAAAATACATCTTTTTAATTTTTGTATATTTTTCGTCAATCTTAATATTTTTAAATTTTTATACTTTTAACTATATGTTTTTCAATTTTTGAAAACATTTGAAATCAATTTTTTATATGTTTAAATTTAACATTTAATAATCATTTTTACCTTTAAAAACTTGAAAAAAAAAATTAAATAATTTTTTATAATATTTTAAAAAACTAATCCATTCATTTGAAAATATAAAACTAAAACTTAGTTTGTAAATTAAATACAAGGATTTGTAAAAAAAAAAATATCTTTAATGATATTGTATAAATGTCTTAATTCATTGCAATATATATATATATATATATATATATATATATATATATATATATATATATATATATAAAGAGAGAGATTAAATACTCATATATAAGTAATTTACTAATAAGTAATAATTTATATTTTATATTTTAAATAACATAGTATGTGCATGGTAAATAAGATTGACACATTCTCATTTAGTATTTGAATTGAATAGTGTTCTATTTGATAAAAAGGTCTCAATCTAATAAATAAATTGATAATTTGTAATTAAAGTTAGAAGTTTTAACAAGTTACACCTTTAAAGTATTTTAATAAACTAAAGTACGACTAAATTATTAATAAACACTTTCAAAAAAAATTAAGTAACATATCAACTACTACGGCGACATTTTAAATTATTTACTAATGAAAATATTAATATCTTAATAGATCACGAATTTAAAACTATTTATAAAAAAAGAAAATTATACATTTTTAAAAGATGAGAGACAATTAATACATCAATAAATCTATTTGGAATCCTTTAATTTTTCTTCACTCCAAATTCAACGTTAAAGTCTATCTTGAAACTTGAAAATAAGATCCAAGATTCTCGAAGCAACTTGGCATTTCCTTCAACTTCAATTAATGGTCGTTCACACGTGTCCCCCACCCACCCTCCCTTTCTATATTTTTTCTCAAATATTTTGAATTTTAGTTTGGAATTTCAGTCCAAGTAGTCGGTGTTACAGAGGAATAAACCCTAGATACCCTTAATTTACCATTCATTGACTCCTTCCTTTTGAATTTTTATTTTAGTCAAGTTTTACAAAGATCCCCATCTTGACCAAATCATAAAATTATTATTAATCTCAAAATAATGACAAGTGCTCCATGTTGTGTACTTATATTAAAGAAGCTTTATCATTATGAATAAATACCTCACTACGCAAGTGATAGGAAATTTGTAAACCCCTCCTTGTTAATAGTGGATTGTTATTTCCACACAAAAAATCAAACACAAATTACATATATATAAACCAAAACTAGGGGCAGGGAGAGAGTGGATGTGACAGAATTGTGTAAAAATATGAAGAGGTTTTTCTCTGTGAATATTACTTTTTTAGTAACACATTTGGAAGTTTACATACATGTAAGAGTGTATGACACACTCTTCTTTAGATTACATTTGTTGGATATATTTTAACTAAATTTTTAATTTTAGATTTCTTTCTATTCAGCTGTTTCTTGTGCACAACTTGGACATGTCTTTCCCATATAAATTGATAACGAGTAAGAGAGTGTAATAACACATATTTATTTTATATAAACACTTCATAAACATCCCTATCATAAATAAAATATAAATTAAAAACAACTAGTAAAATAATTATTACAAGAAAACAATTCTATTTGAAAAAAAAAATTAAAGAAATAAACCAACAGGGGAGTATACAATTAAGTAAAGGTGAAAAAGAAAAGACAATTGGTGAGGTCATATCCTCCATGGTGAGGATATGATTCCTGTCTTACCAATCATATCCTCCGCTAATTATCTTAAATTCTTCCTTCTATCCACTGTCAGAGACATTCATATCTTAGTTGATTTGTTCATTTAATTCAACTTTAACAATAAAATAGCAGTGAGTAAGTAGTATGATCTAACATTTCTTGCATTATCCCAAAAGGGTATATTACATATGTGTGTATTAAAAAAAACCAGACAAACTGTTAAAGCTATTGATTAAATTACATGATACAAAAAGTACCAAGTTGCAAGCCTCTACGTGCCGTGTTTGGGAAGATATAATATATGGGATTGAGTTGTTTGGCATTAACTTAACTGAAGGAATAAGCATTAAAAAAAAAAGCAATATTTGTTATGATATGATATATCATGTGTGACTGGTGTGGTGAATATTAAGCAGGCAAGGTGTAATTCAAAGGTTAAAATACTTAATTTTGCTTCTCGAATCAAATCTTTGGAAAGTAAACAAGAATATTACGAACTCTGATCGATAATTAATGCTTCTGTTTTTTTTTTTTTTATGTAGTTGGTTGCACTTTGATTATGCTCCATGCCTAAAGTACTCTCATTCAAAGTTGGTTCTCTTCTAAAGTAAGATCCCCATTTTCATTTTTATTTTGCTTCAGGTGTAGTGGGAGAAGCGGCTGAACATGACAAACCCTCATCAATCATCTTAAACCAAATTTCGATCTCCATGGTTAATTTGTTACATGGAAACAGTGTCGTGTCATGTATGATTAAACACATGTGAACATTTAGAAAAGGTTAATATTGTTGTTTTTACCCTCAGAAACAGAAAAGCTAGTGATAGGTTATATCCAGAGCCGACAGAAACACTTCGTAGCTTTTACAAAAGTAATAACAATGATTGAAATCTTTTAGAAATAATGATATTTGAAAAGAATCAGAACATGAAAATTTACTAGAGTAGGACCCAATCTCACATCTCTAAAATATAGCCTCATGTGATTTGTGCTTTCCATATCATGACTTATTTTAATACGCAGGTCAAAAAGAAAGTGGCATGCATAGGAGATGAGATCTATCATCAACTCATTAGTGCAAAACCCTAGAAAAGAAAAGTTCATCAAAGCACAGGATATCTATTGTTGAACATATTCTCCATTCTTGGATCCAATTTTCTTATTAAAATATTGTGCATATGGAGAAACAGGATAGAAATCAATGATGTTTGGTCGTCCTCCCAAACCCTCAAAAGCCGACTGATCAGAATTGATAGTATGGCATCCGAATCCAATAATATCGTGAGAGATGTGTTGTTTAAATCCAAGTGGGGTTCGGTCCCCTTCAAGGGCAAGTCCACCAAAAACTATATATGCTTAAACATTCATTTTCAAAGATTAAGGAAAATCAATTTCAGTTTTCTTTATGCTAATTAATTTCCTTGTATCCTTGTAACCATTGATTGGTTGTGTTGCATTTTATTAATGGACAATGACATCATTAACAAACAGAAGTTTGGCACTTTGTTACCACAATTAATTCGCATGAGGCACAGTGCTTTCTTTCTCCATAAGATAGCTCTAGATCTTATTCCCTTAATGGGTCGGGGTTCTTATTCTCAAAAAGATCATAACATAATACGTGGCTTTTCTTTACCATATAAAATCCCTTTAATCATTCCAAACTCTAATCATTGGATCACATTCAATTAATTATTATTTTTTAGTTAGTGAAGTAGTCAATTTTATATCTCATCTAGGATCATTCACTATAGTAAAACTCACTTTTCATTTATATAATAAGAGGCTTATATCTGAAACATTAGTTAAAAGGAATATGTACCACTTAAACTAATTACTCATTCATATGCAATTCATTTTAGATCGTACATCAAAGTATTTATAATGTTAATAACATAATTTGGTTTAAGCTATAACGAACTTAATTCTACTTTTAAAAAAATAATCAAAGATTTAAATCTTACAAACGATAAAATAGATTCTTTGCACGAACTTTTTCTTGTTCAATGGGCTTACTTTAGGGTACTCTTAGTTAGGTTCAAATACGATATCGAATTCAGTCTAACATGATCCAATTAAAGTGACTTTAGATTAGATTGGATATTTTAGTTTAGTTAAAAGATGGTACATAAATCTTATTTTATTATCTGTTCTACAAACAGTTTTTCATATAAAACACATAATAAAAAAAAAGAAAATTATTTGCTTTTCAACCTTTCTATCTGAGTAAAACTATATTATTTTAAAGGTATTTCTAATATTTAATATTGAATGAAAAGAATTAATATGCAGAAAACTTTCAAAAAAATATTTACCAAACATTAAATATTAGTATAGTTTGCGCCTTACATTAAATTGATTATAAACATTCCTTACCCACCAACTTGATTTGGTATATTTGGAGACCCTACATGACTGCTGTGTCTTAAGAGACTCATATGTGGAATCTCAGATAAAAATAATATTTCTAATGATAAAACGTGCTATCAAAGACGTGGGTCTCTATTGATTAAAAAAATGTATTTCTCTTAATTAATAAATAATTAGAAACTTGCCAGTATGTATGTACTGTTTATAATACAACTTGTATTGTACTAGTATAGTACATGTTTCATTTTTCAGGATATATAATATAAATCAAAATATAAAAATAACATTTTTATATAGTCTGAACGCAATTCATATATATTCTCTCTATCTCATAAACTACATACGCGCAGTGTTAAGTTCCAAAACCTAACAAAACATTGGCCATGTCTTCTTCATAGGTTCGTTTTATCAGCTAAACTTCAACAAGAACCGTTTGACATTTTACGTTGGTTTGAGCAAATTTTTTATTAATACAGTATCGTAAAACCATGCAGTTTCGTGAAGTTCTAAATCAACTTAGGTGAAAATCATCGAAACAAATGTCAAACTAGCTAATGCCAAAGGAGATTGATTAAGACCGTTTACAAATATTATTGTCACAGCATATACTGGTGTCCCCTAAAATAAACACATAAAAAATCTAAATGCAGCTTCTTAGTAGATTTCTATGTTTGCCACAAGATTCAATTGGACTAAGTTACAAACATTTAACTCCAAGACTTAACGTTGGCAAAGGTTAGGACCAGCCAGGTGATTTTCCTAGTATATGACATTAGGTTTGTAAACCATTTATTATTGTCCTATCAGACACCATTATTTCTCATCAACCAACAACCAGCATCTAAGAAAGATATGGGACAAATACCTTAAACTAGGTTGGTTAAACATATAATCTAACAAACATATTAAACTATGGATTTGGCATTGTCAAGTACGGTTTTAATACAGAAAAAATAATATTTAATTATCTGATCTAATCAAATTAAGTATAGTTTCCACTCATGATAATTCCATAATGAAGGTTTCCTAGAAGCTAGGTGTCCTGTTGCCGGTAACGACAATGTCAGGGCATAATTTGATTTGCCTAATTGTATAGTCTTCATGTTAATTAATTTATTAATCATAATGCTCACTATATATGGTCCTGAAGTGGACATCACACTTACTTTTTTGGATTAAGAAAGAGCCATATGCTTAAAGTTGATTTGATTTTGGGTAATTAAAAAGGTTCAACAAATGCTTAAGATTCTCTGTTCATAAACTTTAATTAGCTGGATCAAGCTAGCTACATGCACGAGCCAAAAGTTGTAGTGTGAACTCGGAATTATCGTTAGGTGTGTAGTTTATTAATGCAATAATAAAATTGTAGTTTGCATGATATAATTTTGATTGAGTGCATGAATAACCAGGGAAATATCACCCATTTTCCAACCACATTCGTTAGGTCAACGCAAGGGCTTTTTGCAGGAGTTTGGAGGTATTAATGAAGGGTTTATTATTTAATGAACATGTCAACATGCCTCCATAAATTTATCAGAAAATTAAAGCTTAAATATTATTTTACCAAGAAAATATAAGACAGAATGGTCGTCAACATTTAGTCCATTGAAATGCTTCCAAAATTAATTTGTTTTTTATTTGAAATTATTTATAATAAAAGCATATTTTACAAGAACAGTCAAATATAACAATTTTTTAATTATGGGGTGACTAATCAGAAATAGTTTCTACTAATTTAATGAAATAATTGTTATAAAATTTAATAAACTTATTATGTTCAAATAAATTATATTATAAAAATATTACTACATTCTAAAAAATTCAACCAGAGAAAATGTTTTCTTGTAATAATAAAAAAAAAAATAATAAGACGTGATAGTATTTGATAGGCCTAAAGATTGTGCAGACATCTCAATTGTCATTATACATTTTGAAATCAAAGATGGATGGTAAAAAATACTGTATTAATTGATCAAGTTATTTTTTAGTTGACTGACTTTCAATCAAAATTAAAATTAAAAGTGATTAAAACATACACAACCCTATGTTTAGTTTTTCTATTATTGTAAAAGTTAAATATATTTATTTTTTTTATTGAAAATTTCAAATATATATATATATATATATATATATATATATATATATCCAAAATTTATATAAATCAAAATCAACTCAATGCATATTTTTAAAAGTATGCTAAAATATAAATTATTTGATTACTTTATTATTATAATAATAATAATAATTATTGTTATTATTATTAACATAAATATTTAAAATAATATATAATTCAAATGTTAAATAAAAAATTATTTTGTTTAAAAAATTTATAAAAGTTATATATATATATATATATATATAATAGAATTTAAATTACATTATTCAAATAAAATTTCAATAAATTTATAGATTTAATTATTTAAAAAAATTAAAAATATAAAAAATGTAAATCCAATTTATTCAAATTCAAATTCCATTTTTTTCTAAAATTTTAAAAAACACAAGAGAATATTCAATTTGGACATAAAATTAAAAAACATATTTTACTAATTTGCTGAAAATAATTATTTATATGTTAATATTTATATTACATAGTTAATTATATTTAAAATATAATTGATTGTATCATTTTTTAATTATTAATATTACTTTTATAATAAAAAATATTTATTTTCATTCTTTTTCTTTATTTTTCTTTCTTTCATTTTCTATCATATATCATCTAAATAAAGAAATAATTACCTTTGGGCATGTTTTTCTTTTCAGTCAAATGAAATGAATATATGTAACATATATCTAAATTTGGACAACCAAAATCAAACATGGACACTAAAATTAAATCTTAATATACTTTAACTCTCTCTCTCTCTCTCTCTCTCTTATATATATATATATATATATATATATATATATATATATTGTTACTAATTTTATAGATGAAGTAATGGTTTAAGAAATCTTGACTTTGAGCCATTTCAACAAATGCTTATTTTAATTTTTTTAAAGTCTTAAAATTCATAATAAAATTTCAAATCTGAGTAATAACACGTTTGAGAAATAAAAATAAAAAACTCTGTTATTTACCACTTATTAGCTCGAGTTTATATAACAATAAAATAAACAATAAGATAAAATCAATAATAATAAGAGACCTGGAATTTGAATAATAGTTCAGGTTAAATATTTATCAATTTCGAAAGAGTAGACATAGGACTGATCTTTAATTAATATGTAGTTTATAGGCTTTATACAACCGAAACAAACTTAATAAGAGGTTTAAAAACTATTTTATAAAGAATATAAAATGTTTATTTATTATTTGAATATAAAAATCAAGACATTATAAGAAAAAGATAAATATAGTATTATGTTTAATTTAAATAAAAATATAATTATTCTAATATAATCATAAATCTCATATTATTTAAAATAATAAATAGTTTATACATATCCTATTTTTATATCTTATTTTTATCCATAAAAATGTCATATAAAAATAAAGTCATGAAAAAATCGTGAGAACGGATAATACCAAAGATAATTATGTCTACCTTTTTCACTTAAACAGAACAATAATTAAACAAAATTATAATAAACTATGAGTACGTTTATGTATATATTTCATTATAACTGGTTGAATATATTAATTAGACTAGTCATGTACTAGTAATAAGTTAAAAACTTCTTTATGCATAAAGTACTGATCAGAATATGTTCTCCATCAAACTTTTTTTCTTATTTGGTTGCTCAAATTATCCAATATATATATATATATATATATATATATACACGAGGGTGTTATAATACAATGAAACATAAAATAACACACTTTAAAGTAAATAAACTTTCATAATTCACGGTGGGGAATGAATTAAAGTCCAATTCAACTATGATTTTTAATAATTTCGATAGAAGCAAGGATGAAGACATTAAGGAAAATTGCCACAGAAGAAACAAAAATCTTCAATTTGTTGATGGACAGTCCCTGACTCACACTCAGTGCCATTAAAATTATCTATTAACAAAAGACAACGGGGAAAAGTAACCATGACTCTCTTTAGCACATTCATTATTTGTAAAATTTATTGAAACTATAATTTTGGGTAATTTTTTTTTAAATTTATAATTTTAAATGAATTTAAGTTAATAAAAATAATTTTATATATTTTTAAAATTCTACAAAATTTACCTATTTCAATTTTGATTTTGTGATTTTTTAAGTTTCAAGTTTTTCCACAATTAAAAATTATTGTTTTTATTCTTAATATCATATGACAGTCATTAACTCAAACTATTTACTCAATAGTACTTAATAGTTGTGATATAGTAATATCAAAAGATAGTTTTTTTTAATTAAGTAATATCAAATACATGTTACGTAAATATTTTAAATTTAGAAAGATAAAAAAAGTCATAATATTATAAAGATTAAAAACAGTTATTAAAAAAATATAAATATTAAAATGAATATTGATTATTTTATAAAAATAAAATGATGTTAATATTTTTTTTAAATGGGGGTATGAGAAGTAAAGTGAAATAATTGTGAGTGTATGGGATGAAAAGGAAATGGAATCAACGGACAGGGATTGGTGAGGGAGGAGATGAGGAAGGAGGTACGTTGATGAGGTGGAAACAAAAAAGGTGGGTCCCGGACACTTAAAAGTTAACTTTACACGCCACCCTCCCTGCGAGGGTTGCAGCGTATCCTTCGCTCCATGTGTGGTGGTCTGGATGGGAAAAGACGATATTGGGGAGGATGGGGGAATGGGTTGGGAGGGCAAATCGGGGAATAAAGACATTGAGAAGCTTTGGGTGGCGTGGAGGGAGAGAGGAGTTGTCGCAGTCACAAAAGGAGTTAGTGCAGTGCAGAGAGAAACGCATGAGTGAGGGAGCAACGCGTGACAGACTCGTACATCTAAACATTGCCCTCATTGTACTAATGTACTCTTTTCCCACACACTTCCACACTGTGCAAAAACCAGTAATCATACATACTCACACCACCAACTTCTTTTTCTTTTCACTTCTTCTTTTATGTGAATTAGGGTTAACAATTTTTTAATCTCAACACGATCCATTGTTGTAGCTGTATAGGATTGAGAAGAAAAGAGGTCATAAGATGACAAAAGAGATAATTAATGTTAGGATTTAGAGGATCTTAGCAGAGGACAGTTGAAGAATGAAAGAGAGAGTTGAATGAGATGGAAGGAGAAGAGGCCATACTGAGATACTGATACTGATACTGTGTACTGAGTGCCTAAAAGCAATGTATGAGAGCCACTTATGGATGGGCCTCATGTGCCCTTTCACACTCCCAGTCGCATCACCAGACAATGTCGCGCCATTCGACCCCCCACGTGTCAGACATCCTAACCTGATTTTTTACTGCTCCCACGTTAATTTGTCGTCCCAGGATGTCTCTCCCCCACGCGCTTACAGCTTCTCCCATCCCTCACCGCCCAACCCAACCTGACACAAACACACCCCCAACGCAACACAACCCAACACCTAACACCTCTTCAATCTCACTCAATTTCTTTCCTCCTAGCAGCAGGGCAAGAGATGTAGTTCTGATTCATTGTGTTTTGTTTTTATTTCACTCCAACTTCAGTTGTTAATTTCAATTTGGTCTCTTTCAAATACACTGATTATATACTATTCATCTCTTATATCAATCATAATTTCCTATTCATCTTTAAAACCCTTAAAATAATTTATTTTGATGCTTTGGTAACAGTTTACAGAAATTATGAACAAAATTTTACATGACTATTCAAAAATTTAAAATAAACATATTAATTGTTCAATTATCTGTATGGTAACAATCTTTTAAAAACTATTTTTTAATAGTACGAAAATATCCTTCTAGTAGCATAGAGTGGATTAGAAGAGTTTTTTTTTTATCTGAAATTTACAAATTAGGGTTTATAATGTTGTTTCTGCCTCGGACTGGCCAATTTTAATTCTATTATTCTTCTCTGTATTTTAACCCGCATAGGTTTAATACGTCTATGTATAGATATTGAGCAAATTAGGTCAAAGCTTCCAAATTTGTAAAGTAAATTTATGAACAAATTATCTTTGAATTCAATCTCCGAACTAAATGAGTAAAAAATAGAGGGAGAATGAGAGTTAATATATTTACCATTTATTTTATATTTAAGAAATACAAAGACATAATTTATAGTAAATTTAATTACTTTATAGATTATGCAATGTTATTTAAGTGGAATCAAATTATAGGAATTTAAAATAATTTGCATTTTTATTTAATGGTTTATAAATTTTGTGAATGAACTTGTAATTTTATGGCACACCCTGTACAATTGTACAAGGTGTTGTTACTCCAGTTCTCATTTTACCTCTTCAGAAATCAATATTTCCCTTTACCAAAACCAAGTGTTTTGTGTTTTTCAACTTATTTTATTTAATAATTTTTCTCTACTTAGAACATGTTCACTTACTTTGTCACCATCAATAATTTACATTTTCATTCTTAATTTTTAGTGATTATTAGATCTTATCTACTCCTCATTTTGATAGGTAAATCTTGTTAATCCGATTCTTATTTTACCTCTTAATAATCAACATGTCTTTCCATTCAACAGTTTTATGTTTTTCAACTTATTTCATTTAACAAATCAACCATTTTATCTCTATTTTAAGATAGATTTATTTGCTTTATGAATTTTAGATATAATAATAATAATAATAATAATATTATTATTATTAAGGACATAAAAATAATTAAATTTTCATTACATTTTTCTCAGATTTTATGAACCAATTACATTATTTTATGATATATTCACTCAATACATTATCTCCATGACAAATCAATCCATCTCAAAATAAAATTATATATATCCTCAATTTACACCTAAGACAAGCCCATCAATCCCTTCGTTCATACAAAAAATAATTGAATTTGTCACTAAGCATTAAAATAAAAGTTAAATAATAATAATATAAATATTTATTTTATTTTTAAAATTTTTTTATCAAATAACGCATATTTTGATGAGATGTTCAGGGGTTAATATCAAAATATCATTTTTCTTTTCGTTATCATCTTTAACAAATCAATCTATTTATCTCATCTTAAAGTAAAATTAATTATATTTTTCTTATTTGTTTCTTCTTATTAGTCAACCATTATGTAAGGTAATATTGATTAGTTTTATCTTCTAAAAAATAGAAATAAAATAATAATAATATGTAAAATAATTTTTTTAGAGAATTAACTTTTATTTGTTATTACTTATTTTTAATTTAATAATTTATTTTAATTATTAATATAAAAAATACATCTTTATATTTTTTAAAGATGATAGTTAAACATCAAAAAGTAAATAATAATATGTTAAATAAGACATAAAGATGTTATAAAATATAGATGAAAAATATTGGATTGATGAAAATAATACATCTTAAAAAAATTTATATCTCATTATATAAACAATAAAGTGGACAATAATAAATATATAATGAACTTAAAATCCATTATACTTTTGACACCATAATCGAAAATATTTTAAGTATGTATTTGATTTTTTTTTATACTCTTGTGTTGAGCGTTATGAGATTTAATTTAAATTCTTGTTTTAGAAAATGTAAGTATGTTTAGAGTCAAATGACATAAGAGAGGAGTCTATGTTTTGTCACATAGTATTATTATCTGGATATCATTGAATAATAATCATAATTTTTCTCCGATTTTGGAGTTTTTATGATATATTATTCTGTTAATTATTTATCTCTTACTTCTCTATTAATAGAGCAATTTTTGAGAATAAAGTGATGATATTCTTCGTGACGTTTTTTCCATCAGAGTGGTGTTAGAGTTTATGGTTCAATAAGATATTCTTAATATACTCTGTGGTTGCAGCTTAATCAGAGTTTATGGTTCAGTAAGAGTTTATGGTTGACATAGAGAAAGAGAAATGAGAAAAACTAAATTTGAGAGCTATAAATGCAATTCACTTATATATTACCCAAGAATGTTTTTGCAAATGGTAAGAAATATTGATGGCAAAGGAACTTTAGGATAATGAGATCTTCTCTAAAAGATGAGTTAAGTATTCTCATGGTATAACCGTGTTGTCATAAAAAAATGATGAATTTTTTTGCTAGCGATAATTGTGCAAGAATATTGATTAATATTAATGTAGGGTGTGTGGTAATTATACATGTGCATTGGTTATCCAATACAAGTTTGCAGTGAAAGGAAATTATTAAAATAATTATATATTATGTATGACGGAATATGAATGATTGTTGATGTAGACAATAAAGATAAAAAGAAAAATGTGTTTATTTTAATCATGGTGAAAATTATTGGGTTAATAAAAATAATATATCTTGAAAAGTCTCACGTCACATAATATAAGCAATGAAGTGTGTGATAATAATTATATAATAGACTCAAAGTCCATATTTTCTTATATTTTTGTAGTAGAGTATTGTGAAGTTTAATTTAAATTTTTATTTTAAAGAATCTAGGTGTATTTGAGGTCGAAGAGCACGAGAGAGTAGTCTATATATTATAAGAACTTCCATACAATATTATTTTTTAGTTATCATTGGATAACGATAGTAGTTTTGATTTTGAAATTTCTATGTTATATTCTTGATTTTGAAATTTTCACATTATATTATTGATTTAGAAATTTTTACGATATATTACTGTATTTAATTATTTTTTTTTATTTTTCTATTAATAATATAATTTTGATTTTGGAGTTTTTATATTATATTCTTGATTTTGGAGTTTTGATTTTAAAATTTTTACGTGATATATTCTTGATTTTAAAGATTTCATGTTATATTTTTGTGTTTAATTATTTTTCTCTTATTTTTGTAGTAATAAAATAATTCTTAAAAATGAAAAGAGAGATATTCTTCAGAACGTTTTTTCTTATTAGAAAATTAAGAAAATCTAAATTATTAAGTTTTTGGTTTTAGGTATTTAAATTTGATTAAAAATGTATATATTATATTAAGAGTATTAATAAAGTAAATATTTAGAATTGACAGTAGTAATTTATTAAAAAATAAAGCGTACAATATATATACGAGGATTAACCGACAGCATTGAAAACTGAAGATAATATGAAGGGAAGCCGCTAGGAAAATTATATATATTTGGAAAAACGTAAATTAAAGAAATATATTCTTATATGCAGGGGAAACAGTGATGTGCTATAAAGTTTGAGAAACGAGAACTATTGAGTGGTGGGTGATTCATGGTTGGGATCACTTTTGAAAAATATTCGTGTGTCAAATCCAGTGGCAAGTCACAACACACTGATTAAACATGATTTAGACAAGGGCTATGCTTCGATGCTCTCTAAGATCTTCTGCCCTTCACATTTACTATTCAATAATTTTTTTAAAGATAGACTTCAAAATCTAGTATATTAAAATCAAATTTAATCACTTTCACAAAATATTTATTAATCTTAATTTTTAAGAACATCCAGACTCTAATTTCTATATTATCATGTTTTGGGTTCTTTAAGAACGAGATTATTTATTATTATTATTATTATTATAATAATGAGATATTATTTCCTTTAAAACTTTAATTTATTATAATTTTATTTTAAAAAATAATTTAATTAATTAAAAAATAATAAAAAATTATTATTAATTTTGGCTCATAAATTTAAATTAAATTTAAAATATTATTATTTTCAATATTATATGTTTAGTTATTTGGGTTGTGGTTATGAATTTAAAAATCTTATATCCATAATTTTTATGTTAAAAAAAAAAGTTATTTAATCTACGTTGATGAATTTGATATTTGACTTGATTTGAAAGAAATTAAACATATACATTTGTCTATCTTCAATGTAGATTAGTATGTTCTAATGCAATCAAAGTCTTTTATCACATCAATGTTCTTCCATATCAGCATCTCCATATTCTCGAATGAACATTAATCATCATTTTCAACTAATTTCATGATTATTTTCTTTATATGGATGTAAATTTTTTTAAAGAAACTTCCATGCTAACTAGACCAACTATAAAAAATGCTACAATGTGTTATTGTTAAAAATGTTTTCAAACAAATAAATCTAAATGTATAATAGATTAATATTGTTTTTTTTAATAATATTTATTTTAGTATTTTATTCTTAAAATATTTAATTTAGTTTTTTATCCTTTAAATTTAGACAAATATTGTCGTTTTCCGATAGTGATGATTTTTCGTTTTTTGGACATAATATTAACTTATTTTTAACTAATTTAAATTACGAATTTTGCATATTAGACTCATTTATACGAAAATTGTGAAACTCGACTAATGTTAAAAAATATTATATATATATATATATATATATATATATATATATATATATATATATATATTCCACAAACATTTAAAAAATGAAAAAAAAAACTATAAGTTTTTTCTAATTAGTCGTGGGACTATTTTTACTTTAATTTTATTATGTTTTTATCCTTTTAATTCATATAAATGAATGTAGTGGAACAAGTTTCACATATTGAATCAATAAATAAAATATTGAAAATTATATATCAAAATAAAAAAAAATCACTATTTTAAAGGGATAATATTGATTCACCAAAATAAAAATTGAAGTAATAAAAAGTCAAAACAAAATTTCTCAATAAGATAAAGATAAAAAGAAATGTTAAGAAATATATTTAACTCTACATAATATTATTATTATTCTTTTATCCACCACTACCCATATTGATACAGATAAATTTTTATTCGATAATTTTATTCAATAATTTCAATCATGAATTAAGAAGCAAAAGTTGGATGATTTTTCTATAAACAAAACATTTATTATATTACAAATAAAAATGAAAAAAAATTATTTCTTTAGTTTCAGAAAAACTTTTTAATTTTATTTTCCTAATATGTTTTTGATGATTAATGTTGACAAAAATATTAAAACAAATAGTTTTTTTTTTCCTGTTTTATCTTTTACTGTATTTTTATTTTAAAACGATACAACATTGATATAAGTTTATATATACATGTATTAAGGAGGATTATAAATGTTAATAAACACGAAATAACTTCGTAACAAAGTTCATATTTCCTTAAAATTGAAAGCATTTGTTGGTTGCCATTTTTCAAGTACTTAATAGTTTTCATGATTGTTAAAAATAACAAATTATTTTTGCAACAAGTGTGTTAACTATTATTACTCCTTCGATTTCAAAACATATAATTTATTTGTTACAAAAATATATAATTAAATATGAGTAAAATATTAGAAGTATACTCTTGAATACATCAAACAAATTTTTTTTTGTTTATTTTATTGAATTTATTAAAGAAAATTTTAAATCTCACTTTCTATATAAGAAAAAAAGTACAAAGAGTAAGCATATCATTAATTCACGATATCGTTATTTTAAAACTAAAAACGATCAAATAAATATTCAAAATTAACCGTTTGTCGTTATTTGGACTTGAAACTTACATTAATACTATCATTTAAGTCATATATTTTAATTTCAATTTTGGATTGGTTTAGTAGTCAATTTGTTTTTTTAATAATTTTTAAAAGATGTCTCTTCGTCTTCTAATTTTCTGACTGAACCAATTAAATTAAGATCTTGACTATTAAGATTACTTGCATAACATTATGACTAGTCAAAACAATCACCTTAAAATACAACAAATAACCGTGCTATAACGCTAGATTTTGACAATTAAGATTTATAACTTATGATTTAAAAAAATAAATAAAACACGAAATATCTATATTTTGAAACAAAAGATGGAATATACAAATTGGAAAAAAATAGAAAGACTGAAATTGTGTTATAATTTTCAATTTTTTTCGGTTTGAAGAGTAATGGCAGGATGTTTTAAAATTGTAGAGATTAAATTAATTATTTGTAAATTAGTAAAAAATCTAAAATGAGGAATTGATATTAATAAAATATCGAAGATGATTAAAAAATAATGTTGGTTGCTGAGATCTTAAATGCAATTAGGCCCTTTATAACCTATACTATCAGTAAAACACGTGATTTTAAATTGGGACACCATGAGACTAAAAAGAACATCTGTGTTCAATTCTCGACAGTGTGTGTCTGATGTCGGATCCGGATCCTCTCGTATCTGCTATGCCCAAACAAATGAACTGTATTTGCAATTTAATATTCGAAACGAAAGTTAAATGTATTCCAAAAATAAAATATGTTAAAATGAAAATAAACAATGCTGAAAATACTTTTTTATTAATTTGCAAGAGTTACATTAGAAGTAAAAAAAGTGTATTAAACAGGCAAAAATAACTAAAATATTAAAGAATGTACGGAACAATAGTGGGAAGTTATTTTCACTTAACAAATAATCTTTAAGTTTAATGTTAAACATAGAAATACGTTTAATATTTAAAAAAAAAAGAGTTATTGTCACGCATAATGTATGTAGATAAGAATAAGAATTAAGGTGATATGATAAGAAATAAATAAATAAAATATTATTTATTATTATTATTATTTGATTTTGATGATAAAAGAATAATTTGCATGAAATGGATGGAAATACAATAGAAGGAAGAAGAAGTGAGGTAAAAGTTTTGGAAGTATATATTCTAATTCTTGTGTGGGAGAGAGAGAAGGAGAAAGAGGTGGGGGGTAAAAGCAAAAGGGAATGGGGTGGTGTGGTACAAACCCTATACACCAAAGCGGCAATGGCGCGTGCATTAATCACCCACCCAATCTAGGAACTTACTTTTTCAAAGATTTCGTCATGCATTCGTGGCGGCGCAGTTCTAAACATTTCCTCCAAAAAAATAAAAATAAAAATAAAAATACTTGTTCTATACTAAGTTCTACAAAGCTTACTCTCCCATTACTTTCATTCGTAACTTGTAACCCCAATCAATAAACCTGTCCAACATCACTCTTAATTTTACTTTATTACTATTTACTATTTTTAATTATTAATTATTATTATGATCAATCAGTCAATTCCTTACTATTAATTTTCAGTTATATACCCCATCCATTAGGTTAGTGTCTGTGCGTGCGTCTTCAAGTATGTAACATAACATAACATAACATAACATAAGCACAAGTATAAACTATAACGGTTATGATTTTACCAAATAGCAGTTTCTCTTGCTTTGGCTCCTATATATATTCATGAACCAACATCTTCCATACTCACCTCTTCCTTCGCTCTCTAGAACAAAGAAACTCCCTCCCTTCAATTCCTCTGCTGTTTCAATTCTCTCTTCCGCACACAAGAACACAGAGCACTCACTCACTCACTGTTTTCTCTCAAGCTAAGAGCATGACAACCCACATTGATAATCTGTGGGTGTTGGCCTTGGCCTCCAAATGCACTCAAGAGAACATTGCATGGTCACTTTTGATCATGGCATCTCTCTGGCTCACCATGGCTTTCTTCTACTGGTCTCACCCGGGTGGTCCTGCTTGGGGCAAGTACTACTCCTTCCATTACTGGAAAAAAACCACCTCAACCAACAACCTTAACCTTTCCTCGGATACTAACAAAATGATTCCCGGTCCCAAAGGCTACCCCATGATCGGGAGCATGAACCTCATGGCCTCCCTCGCGCACCACCGTATCTTTGCGGCGGCCAAGGCATGCAACGCCATGAGGCTCATGGCCTTCAGCCTCGGGGACACACGTGCCATAGTCACGTGCCACCCCGACGTTGCCAAGGAGATTCTCACCAGCTCTGTCTTCGCTGATCGCCCAATCAAGGAATCCGCCTACAGCCTCATGTTCAACCGCGCCATCGGCTTCGCCCCCTACGGGGTCTACTGGCGCACCCTCCGCCGCATCGCCGCCACGCACCTCTTCTGCCCCAAGCAAATCAAGGCCTCAGAGCTCCAACGCGCCGAAATCGCCGCCCAAATGATCCGCTCCTTCCGGAACCGCCGCGGCGCCTTCCACCTCCGCCAGGTTCTGAAAAAATCGTCTCTGAACAATATGATGTGGTCGGTGTTCGGACAAAGATATAAGCTGGACGAGGCAAACGCAGAAATGGAGGAGCTTTCCCGGTTAGTGGAACAGGGGTACGATTTATTGGGTACCCTTAATTGGGGTGACCATATCCCCTTTCTCAAAGATTTTGACCTCCAGAAAATCCGGTTCACTTGCTCCAAACTCGTCCCCAAAGTGAACCGGTTCGTTGGTTCAATCATCGCCGACCACCAAGCCGACATAACCCAAACTAACCGCGATTTCGTTCATGTTTTGCTCTCTCTCCAAGGTCCCGATAAATTGGCTCACTCCGACATGATTGCTGTCCTCTGGGTAAGTCTAATTTAACTCCCACCAAAATAAATAATATTAATTTAACTCCATCATACAAGTTAAATAAACATAGAGAAATAAATGTGTTGTTGTTTATGTAAGGTTATTTATTTTATTCTATTATATGTTACTAATTTTAATTATTGTTTTTTGGGAGACAGGAAATGATATTTAGGGGGACCGACACGGTGGCGGTTTTGATTGAGTGGATACTAGCAAGGATGGTGCTTCATCCCGAGGTGCAAAAGAGGGTGCAAGAGGAGCTGGACGAGGTGGTCGGGGTTGGTAGGTCACGTGCTTTGACGGAGGAGGACGTGGCGGCGACGGTCTATCTACCGGCGGTAGTGAAGGAGGTTCTGAGGATACACCCTCCAGGCCCGCTTCTCTCCTGGGCCCGCTTGGCCATAACTGATACGACCATTGATGGGCATCATGTGCCCGCGGGGACCACGGCTATGGTTAATATGTGGGCCATAGCACGGGACCCGGAGGTGTGGGAGGACCCACTGGAATTTAAGCCCGAGAGGTTCCTGGGCTTGGAGAGCGAGTTTTCTGTTTTCGGGTCGGATCTGAGACTCGCCCCATTCGGATCGGGGCGAAGGACTTGCCCAGGGAAGAGTCTGGGTTTGAGCACCGTGACCTTCTGGGTGGCGAGTCTCTTGCACGAGTTTCAATGGCTACCGTCCGATGAAGCCAATGGGGTTGATCTAACGGAGGTTCTCAGGCTCTCTTGCGAAATGGCTAACCCCCTCAGTGTTAAAGTGCGCCCTAGGCGTGGACTAAGAACTTAAAATAATAATAATAATAATATTAATATTTAAGCTTATCTAAGTTATTAACTGGAAACTCTTTGTTTTAATGGGAAGAAAAAAAAATGAAGGTAGAAAAAGAAAAAAAAAAGAAAAAAAAAGAGAGGGAGGTTTTGCATGTGGAGGGGGTTTGGAGGGAGGTGCATGGCCCTTTGGAGCCGCTAAATGTTAAGTGAATGGATGAATGAAGGTAGAAGCTTTAGAAGGTTGAGTTGGCTCTGTCTCTATATTATGGGGCATCAGGTTTTTCTCTTTTATTTCGTTTTTTTTTTCTTTGTTTTTTGGTTTTTAAGTTGACAGTCAAGTCTGAAGTTGTCCGGTTATGAAAAATTGGAAAATATCTATTTCCATTGTAAATATTGCTGAAATTAATACAAGTTTTTAAGTTTGGCTCTACCATTGAAATAATGTGTGGCTAAAGACTAAATTCAGACAAATTTATTTATCATGTCATCATCGTCATCTATAAAAACATACTAGATGTGGTAGTGCACTAGTACATAGATTCCAGTGCGAGTTTAGCTATAGACAAGGTTGCACACGTGATTACATGATAATTGTGAGTTGAATATTGGATGAGAGGTTAATTTCAGTTTTCTGAATAAATCTAAGCTGTAGGTATATGGTGAATGAGTGTGAGTATTTGGGTATTTGATTTGATGTGAAAAAGATAAGGAACTGGGTGAAGAGAAGGTGAAGTGGTTGATGTATGCAATTGCAAGTTGCAGAGGTGATTTATGTGTGATGTAGGAGTTGTGGTTTAAACTAAAAATTGAATGATATTGGGAATTTGGCACCATGCAGTGACAGACAAAAAACCTTGGCCTGATCTGTTTCTACACAAAGTACATGGTTCCCTCAGCTTTGTAGTTCCTTGGCAATTGTGACTCTTATGCACAACGACATTTGATTACCATGGGTGGGGGCAACACTAGTTTTCTAGTTGTCCTCACCTCATACCACCTATGACGGTTTACACCACAAACTCTTTCTTTGTCATCACAAATTGGACCACATTGATCTATATGTTCGATTTTCAAGGGAGAAGTATTTTAGACTTCAACTATATATGTAATTGACAGCACAGAGAGGTACTTCTTACTCCAATTTAGCACCTACACAAGAGGGAATGTTTTATTTATTAGGATGCTTTTTATTAATTTTTTTTCCCCTTTTGGTCAATTTGAATTTGATTTCATGTAAAGTGGGTTTGCCCTCATTTCAATAAAATTGTTACTATCATGATGGTATCATAGGTAAAAGGGTCTCAAAATCATTAATGCCAATTTTGTGTACATGTAGTTGGCTATAACCATTTAAGTCAAACCAACTTAGTTGACCATGGTCTTCAATTATCCTATTCTTGTCAACTTCAACTTTATTCCCCTCTTTTCTTCCTATCCTTTGTCCATTCGCATAAACGGAGGAGCCTTTTATTCTCTCAATTCCTCTTCAAGAACATGGCGTTTCATTTTAAGTCATTGCAGTTTTGCCATCGTGGTAACAAAATTATTTTCAGCTAAAAAATTGACTCTTCTTCATTGTTGTGAAATTGGATTCAAAATCCATTCAACTATAATAAGAAACCTCTTCAGATAAGAACTATCAACAATTTTGTTCACTAGTAATGAACCCTAAGGATAAGACCTATGGCTACTTCATCAAAACTCACACGTTTATCATCTTCCTTGGGCCCAAGTGTAGTGACATGTCTTTGGATAAGAATCCAAATTCATTGAATATCTTGTTCCAACTTTTTAGGTAACAACCGCATTCAAAATTCCAATTCTATGAAGGACATGGGAAAATATACTCATGCTTTTATTTTGTCTAACTTGGGTTTTCTCTCACGTTTTTTTTTTCTTTCTTTTTTCAATAAAATAGTTATTTACTCACCATAGTATACTATGAACTAGGGCTGGATAATTCTTGTTGTTGTGGAGGGTTAAAACACATATCGCTATTGAAATTTTAAAATACTTGCAGTAAAGTTACTGAAAATGTTCCTTATATAAAATGGTTGGAATGATTGGTATTCATTAATTATAGAAAAAAATTGTGCTTTTGAATTTCCCATAAGACCATTATTTTAAAATAACTTTTGGAAATTGAATAACATCACTCACCTATAAGGAGTCAGTTTTGTCTTTGAAGATTGTCAAACTAGGAAGCATTTCTCAATAATCTAATTGTGTAAAATATCCACACTTGGTTCTTATTGAAGGATAGAAGTTACCTACACTCACTTGATCTTCCCTTTCATATTCCCTCAATGGAAAATGATATGTGGTTTAAAAAAAACTCTTTTTTTTTTTTTGTTAAGTGCCATTTTTATATGAAAGAACAAAAAATAGAATATGCAAAAAGACAAATGACATGAATGAATCGTGTAAAAGGTGGTGTTTACAAGAGATTACCTTAACTTACTAAGACTAAACTGATTGAACTTTATTCACGAGTTTATTTTTTTCCCTTGAGTGAAAGCTATAATCTTTTTACTCCCAGTATTCAATGTGGTGGTGCGAGTGCCTAAAAGTACTCTAATAAAGTATATCCTCAAATCAATTAGTCCTTAGGGTTTTACAATTTTTCAATTTGTCTTGACTTGGCAAAAGATATTCACTCACATTCCTTTTTAGTAAGGAAATATGTAAAGTAAAAAGGACTAGAATACACTTTTAAAAAACTTAATTTGCCGTGTGTATCACGGAAACAAATTGAGCTGAAAATTTAGTCAGAAAAGCACTTGGAGAATGAAGGCCATGTGTATTTTAACTAAAGAATTTAAATATTAGAGAATGAATATTGGTTAGTACTTTTATACAGGATCATGTGCCCTACAATCCTTACCTTTGTCAGATGAAGAATTCACAATATAGGACACATGTGGAATGGCTAAGGATCATGGAATGAGAGCTATCTTAGATCCTAGTGGAGGTCTCTTTGTTGGGACTACAGTACTTTGTGTGCATGAATGGTTCCATGCATCGAGTTTTGTCCATCAAAACTTTTATCAAAGTTCAGATCCCCTATTCAATACTCTTAATATATCCAATTTCAGTAACACCATGACTTCCAAATTCTAAATGATAAAAAGGATTGAATTTCCAAGTAAGTCTGACATTCAAAGAAACAAACATACAACGTAAAACTAATTTCTAGATTTGTCTTTGCCTTCCCTTTTCTTTCGGTTTGGTTGTGTTTGTCAATCAAACAAATCACAGCAAAGGCGGATGGTACATGCATATATATATATATATATATATATATATATATATATATATATATATATATATATATACATATTATAGTTTTACTGAAGCAAGAATAATGATATTTTAGAGAAAGCACTATCCACCAGCCTCTTGCAAACTGACATTATTGATAAGAACAGGAATTAATGTATGTGAACAAATATTAGAATGAGATACATTTGTTACATATTTATTGGTTTTTAATGGTTTGAAATGTGTCACTTTCCTCATTCAATAAGAAAGCATGACTTGGCACCATATGGATTAAATTAATACAATTATTTTTCCCCTTATAAAAACACTTTGCCTAGCCCTTTCCTTGTAAATATTTATCCCAAGACATGAAAAAAAAATAAAAAATCTTATACTACAGAAAGGCTATCAAAGATGAATGACAGTGACACCAGTTGAAGCTTGAGCCTTTATTATCCTATTCCTGTCTCATTAACCAAAGAAAATGTCGCAGCATGTTCATGGCATATACTTTATAGTTTATCCTTTTGTATGATGGAAAAAAAGAAGGTAAGTAAAAAAAAATCACTGATAAAAAAGCAAAAAAAAAGGAAGGTAGATTACGTTGTTGGAAAAAGAAAGCTGAAATAAGAATGTGAGCTCAAATATGCAATTGACAACATAACAAACGGGACAAATTGGTTCGTGGGTCGTTTGGCACATATTTGGGCCAAACAAAGTGGGACAAACAAGATTTTGCGTTTGGTTATTGCCCTCTAGCTCACAAAGGAACATGGGTCCAATGATGTCTACACCTAAATGACACATTTTGTCATGGGGATTCATTCAGTGGGGACCGAATCTTAAACTTTATATATCTATACCTCTACTGTCACTTTTCAAACAATTGTAACGGGTCTACAACGGATTCATCATGATTATCAAAAATTAATTTTGATCTATAAACTATGTAAAGTTCCACCTCTATTTCTTCCTATTCTTTTGTTTAAAACCAAAACTAGGGTTTGAAACACATTTATTCATTGAGGCTAGTTCTTCAGCCAAAATGATGCGCTTAATAGAATTGAGGGTGGGTTAGAGGAGGATATTAGTCGTCAAAACTATTTTGCTGTTGGTTGTATTTGTTTGAAATTGACTGATGCAAATAAAGGAATAATTCCAGTGACATACCTATAACTGGGAACAGAGGTGCTAAAAATTCGTAAAGGGTACATTTGACTATTGTTAAAACCTACTAAGACCAGTCTAATGCTGAAAAGTTCAATGATTTTGTACGAAATTGTAGGTTCAAATCTTGTTACAGCTGTTATAGAGAACTATTTTTAAGTATCTAAATCCTAAACAAGTTCAATATGCTAAATGAACAGAAATCGTAGCCCAAGGACAATAACATTTACGCAGGGTTAGATCCTTAACTTACCAAGCAAACAAAAAGGATCCGAATGAATCTTATCATATTAAATTTTTATGTGAAAATTTTGTTTTACAAATTTTCTGATATAGTCTCATATCCAATGTCCATGGAAAAGAGCTAAACACAAATTTCACATAATATCATAAGGCCCTTCCCAATAAAGATAGATGTAACTGCTTTCTAAGTGTGTTTACTGCCATTAAACGATTCAATATTTTTAATTAAAGACTTTTTAGCCAGGGCAACATAATTAAACATGGAACACAACAGATAATAGCATAATCTGCAGTCCAATTACCGGGTTTAATAAAATCTATTTCAAAATATTATTCACGAGAAACTAGATTGAGTCCAAATGAACAACTGGTATAACTGAGAAAGAGGCCATAGCACGTACAAGAAAACAAAATGAATCCCTGCATGATGTTTGAGATAGCGAAATACTTTTAAATGTCACCCAAAAAAGGAAAAGAAAAAGAAACAACACTGCCGCTGCTCTATTACGTAAATAGATGCACTAAAAGTATGCCCACAGCTCATCTTTAATTTTCTGATTTAGTGGAATTGTTTTTTTTGCCATAGTACTGCAGAGCAAATGCAAGGCCCAATATCAGTAATGGCACTAGGTACTGCAAGATCTTCACAAATCCAGAAGATTGATTGCTGTGGACAGGTGCTTGTGTTGGTGGGAGTGGAGTGTTGTTGGTAACTTTTGCTGGAAGCGAAGTGGTGTCAACCTCCCCAACAAAGTATGTTTCCATACTCTCAATTGCTGACTCACTGTGGCCAATATCTTCAAAATCAGTGGTGGCATCCTTCTCTGTTTCAAGACCAGAACATTCTTAGCCCATGTCTATTATTTTCTCTGTTTCTTCATTGATTCATTTTCTTTCTTTTAACCGACTATGCCAGGGGAAATAGATATTGATTGCATAACTAATGGTGTATTAACTGGCCAAGATGAACTACTTACCGGTGGCGGTCACTAAAACTTCATCACCTCCCGGATGATCATCCAAAAATGAGGTGACATCATACACCTGCCACCATGGAATGCATGTTAGGTAAATTATTTTTATCTATATACAGTCCTACTATTCAAAAAGAAGGGTAAGCAAAGAAATTAGGAGCCATGGGATATTGAGTGCAGAGTATACTTCAATCAATTCAATTTTTAGATATTGAGTGTAAAAGGAAACATACATAAAAAAAAAACATTTTAACTATTTGATTGGTCAATCAACTTCCAGACGAATATTTCTTCAATGTTGTTTTCGATATGATCTATACAACTTTATAAGCTCAATTACCTAAAGTTCCCTAAAGTAACAACTGATGAGTTCGTCTTTCTCTACTACTAAAGACGGTCTAAATAAAACATTGAAACAATGACCCGGTTGCCATTTACATAAATAATTTACATTAATTTTATCAATAAGGAAATTTTTCATTTTGCTGATAACTAGGAAGGGAAGAATGGATGTCATCCTGATTAGATAGATCTGGTGGTCTGGTCTGGCATCCCATCAATAGGATGCAAAACATTATAGGCTTTATGTAAGGACAGGAATGAACAACGATTTACAGAGAAGATGGTCATTGAAAATTTAAATTAAGAGTTTTAGCAACATAATTTTTTCATTAGAAATCACAAGAGATGGTTATGAGAAGGAGAGGAGGTATTTTGAAAGATTGAGATTCTGTGTGTTTGACGAGGGTGTGATGGATAAAGGTGTTTGTTAACGGAGCCATCAATATCTGATACCATGTAAAGTTATTAGAGAGGAAAGGTGATCGTTCCCTTTTGCCAGCTCTGAATCAGCTGTTTTCATGAAGCTTTGGAAAATCAGAGGTCTAGGAAAACCATAGAAGCAGGAATTTTTGGCTCAGATTCATCATATGGTGGAATGGAACTGTAGTTTGAAGAATTTCTTCTTTAATTGTTTTCACTTTTCTCAATGAGTTTGTATTCTCTTTAATAACATTTGTTCTTTGGATAACAAGAAAAAAGAAGGTATACAGGGTAATAAATATGCAATGGCCACCACTTCAGACAAACAACTTGTTCTAACAACTAGAATTTGGAAAGCAAAATCTTCTTCTCGACAGGGAATGGTATGATAGTTTATGAAGATTGTTAACTCGGGTAATGAGCACTTGAAAAGTAACTCATTTAACTTCCACTAATTTGCACAGGAGACCTATTCTTCAATACAAATAAATTTCACATCAATGTCACTTCGTGAAAAGACTCACCAGCCAGGAGTCATAGATCATATGATCAACAAGCTTCAATATATAGTTCCCCTTACCAACCCGGAGCATGTTATCTCATTCATGTCCAATGACTGAAAATGTGACACCTTTTTATCATAAAAATAGTTTATGAAAGAAATTATTACTTCAAATTCCCATAGTCGCTTCCCTCAACAAAATTAATAATACAATAGCTTTAAATAGTTTGTGTTTTTGCAGATGCTATAATGCCAAAATGAGAAAATAAATAAAGACAATCCATATTATACAAATGGAATATATAGGTCTTTTAATTATGCCCAAACAACTTTCTAAATCATTAAATAGCTTTTTCCCATGGCGAGCCCTATGATTTTTCCATCTTTCAGTGAATTTCACAAGGAAAGAATTTGCATCATTTAATTAACATTATTAAAAAATATTTTAAAATTGGTTTTAGTCTAGTTATTTATGCTTACAGTATTTGAGCCCTACTTTTCATTTGCATCCCCTAACCACACTCCACTACCACAATTGCAGCCACGTCAAGCATTTGCCCACAATTTTACATGATTGCCGCAACCACAATGCAATTTCTCAATTAATCAAATATTGTAGACAATCTATTGGCTTAGCCTTAGCCTTAAGTGATTGCTTTTATTATTGAGCTATTATAAACACTTAACCCATTTGGATTGTGTTGGGCTTTTGGGTTTAGCACCATGAGTACATTAAATTAACCTTCTTAATCAGTAATTACTATTACCATTTATCATGAGGGTTCAGAATACTTGTATCAGAGTCTCTGTTCATTACTGTTTGAACGCATAAATTAGTGTTGTAGATTTCATGCTTAGGGATTAAATTAATGAAAGAATTTTGGACTACTTTTATGTCAAAATTCTAAAACTTAAATGCCATACACAACTTTTTTTTAACTTAGGCAGTTGAACCCCAATCCACCCACCCCCCAAAACATGCAAGAGGAAAATTAGGAACCCCGTTCCAGGATCAGTCAAATCAGGTAAGATAAAGTCATCAACATTTAACAATAGATTATTCACACATCAGATCATACATCAGATTCGCCATGCAAGGAAAAATAAAATATCAACTATGGAAAGCAGATCTAGAATCAAATGATGACAGAAACTGAATTCAGATCACAAAAGCTAACCTTCCCTTTGACTATAATCCAACAATCCTTCCTGTGATTGTGCTTAGCCACCTCCTCAAAGGTAAAAGTTTTGGTCTTTGAACCCATCGCTGCCTCTTCCACTGCCCACAGGAAAACCAAGCATACCCCATTCCATAATGTTAATACAACACACAAAAGGGAAAACGATATGTTGAACACTCGAAATTCAAGAAAATTTCAGATAACTTTGGCTTAAAAATGGAGAAAGGAAGAAAGGTATTGAAGGTAAAAAGTTAGAGAAGAAATTCCCTTACACGCTGTTGAGGACAGAAAGGAGAAGATGGTCTTTCTCTTGGAGAGTACCTTTTACCAGTTACGTTTCTCTCCCAACAACCTAAGACAAAGGCTACTTATACTTGTACATTTGAAAACCCGAATACTAAACTGCACTTATTTCTCCAATTTTAAAAGGAATTTTTGTTTTATTTATTTAATTAAATATTAACTTTATAAAAACTATTAAGTGTCTTACGAAAAAAATCCAATTTTAAAAAATTACATTTCATGTTAAAGATCACAGAAATCATAATCTTATTTTAAAAATTCTCAAACATTTATCATATATAAATGAAAGATAGTAATAAATGTGGTATTAAAAAAGTTCAAAATAACATAAACACATTAATTACATTCATTAAAATATTTATAAAGTAAATTGTAACTTATTTGACCAATTTAAAAGTATGTTTGAATTCTTAAATATCCAAACGCTTAAAAGAAAGGAAAAGACAAGTGCGCATCTTATGGAGGCATAGTTTCTAACGCTGGCTTGCATTGCATCGTTAAAGTCAAACGTTGAAACGTGTGTTTGTTAACTACCTTTTCCCACCTGTACACTATTCATATTTCAAAGCCATCAAAGCAACATTTAAAGCAGGTAGGAAAACTGATTTTCGTTTTAGTAGGAAATGAAATCTTATTTTTCGTGTGTTTTTCTTCTTATATTTTCAATTATACTCCTTAATCATTTTAAATATTTCATTTTTTTCCTATCATCAAAGTCTATTAAAAGATTAATGATAGTATCATTAAACTAACATTGTTGGCCCAAATGAAAAATGGTCCAGAATGTGAATCCTAATAATATATTTTTCAATATAAAATAAATTCTTTAAAGAAATTTTCATTTGGTCCAGAATGTGAATCCTAATAATATATTTTTCAATATAAAATAAATTCTTTAAAGAAAAATGTCTATCTTGTATGATGAGAATGAAAATGAAAAGAATATACTAAGAATTAAAATAATAATAATAATAATAATAATTTATTAAAAGAAAAAAAAATCGTCATTTTCATTATACATCTAATTTGAACATGTTATAAATTGTTGAGTGATGAATGTTGAAGAAACTGCATCGTAATGGAAAATCTCCCTAATTATCGTTACATACATAAGTTGTATGGGGTCGAAGAGGTAATAGAATTTCTATATAATATTTTTCTTGTGATGCATATGAACCCATGCATGAATTTTGGAAAAATGTTTTATTATTAAAATTGCACAAATGTACACGATAATATATGCATACGTGTATAGTTGTAGCTATTAAAAATATTGAAGGTAGTCGAAACTATACATAAATATTATTGATTGTTTTGTATATTTTATTTTTGTAATTTTTTTAATTTATAGTAAAACTACCAATTAAATCCGCCTTTGAAAATTATCAAGATGCAATCAGATTGTCCAAATATATCAAATTTGTTCCTTTTAAAAAGGTTATTTTTCCCAACTTTATTAGACGGTGAAATCACTTGTTACTTTGATTCAGATTGGGCCTCATATCTTACTAGGAAATAAGTGTTTAGTTTTTTTTTCTTCTTTGGCAAGTCTTTGGTATCTTGAAAAAGTTAAAAGAAAATATAAAATTTATTTGATTGAGCTTTATTTTTAATTTTTTAAACCTCTTTATAATTTTCTCATTAACAAGCTTGGAAAATTAGATTTACACACATTCCCACATAAGGAATATTTTGTAATGTTTTTGTTTAAGCAGGCATTGATGGAAAAATCGAAGACTATGTTCATAATGAGAAATAATGTATATTCATCCAAGATTTTGTCATTGGTTTCTTACATTTTCCTTCTTCGGATTATTTAGACAAACACTAAGAACCAACTCTTGTGGGGGAGGGGACCTAATAATTTTGGGACACTCTCATATTATTTTGCTGTGAACGTTGAGAACCTACAATAAAATTTGCAGGATTTGAATGCCCTTATTCGTTTGTCATATTTTGGTGAAAGGTTTCGTTCTTTATTTTGTGCACCATAAATGCTCAGCTTGCATGCATTAAAGCCAATTATTATCGAAAACTATGCATAAAGGTGTGCTAAAATATAAACCTCAACCACAGGCACACAGATACTGGAGACATCCACTCCTTACGTCAAATTAAACTAAAGCCAACAGAAGCAAAGGGATACCACAAATCACAGAATCACATGGGTTCAATGCATTGGTCATAACAAAAACAAGAAGAAAATCTAAGTATTTAATCTTACATATATCATAAACAAATCTACGTTTCCAGATAATTAAACAGTGATACTCCCAGCATCTGATCAACACTAGCTAGTACCTGCATCAAGCCACACATTATTTCAGTCCAATTAAAGCCAGAAACTAATTTCATGGTTACAGTGAATGAATCATGTAGTTACTCCTCCTTTTTCAGATCGAACTCATGGAAGAATCTTGTAGTTACTTTTACCCCAATAATAGCTATATGATAAGAGGAATGGCAATAGAAAACACGATTGTCCTAGTGACAGCGATAAGCTGAAGATCATGTGCACGTCTTTTTGTTTACTTTTATATTTTTCTATCAAATCCCACAATTATAGCTTCACATAATTACATATAGCCTCTATAAAATGGAATGATATTAAAAGTTATATATTTTAATAAACAGGAACATAATAAGGTGATAGAAAAAGATAAAATACATAAAAATTGTATAAGCTATTTATAATTTTATTGTATAAAAAATGCTTGATTTCCTTTCATCAAATTAATTAACTAATGCTCTTTTTTTTGGAAAAAAGAACAAATTGATAAAGTTAATTAACAAGATCATGAACACAATTAGAGTTTTGGAAATTGTTGAAAGGAATATCCTATAATAAGCTAATTGTGATATATATGTTCTAGTGTTAAAAAAATTGTGAAATATAAATGGATAAATAACGTGGCTTTTGTCCCTACTTTTCCCATTATATTGGCTGGCAAAAGGTCACAACAAGAGAATGCAATACTTGATTGCTACTTTTTAAGATTGATGAGAAGATGTTATTTTAACTTCCATGTTTGGATTTTTCAGGGTTATTTTGTAGGAGGGACCCCTTCATTATGAATAATTGGTCCATGAATATCATTTTTGGAAAATGACCTCCTTGCTTGAAAATGCATGCATACCTTTCTCTAGAATGGTATACGTGGACGTGACTTGTTAAGTCGATAAGATGTTGTGGTTGAAAAAAAAATGATTTCATGCATGGGATCCTAGGTACCCAACTCTTACAAATAGTTTCATGTGAAAATTACAAGAGCTTCTTTTTTATCTACCAAGGTTTCTTATCAAGATTGTGCATAAAAACATATAGGGATCAAAAGCAAACGATAGTCGCCTAAGAAAACATTGATTTTACAACCATTTTTTTATTTTTTATGATTATTGAAGATTAAATTCGCAACTATAAGAACTCAGTATATACCAGTACCAGAATGTATATGTTAATATACAGGTTGTTACATAAAAGTATGCTTAGTTGCTAGCAGTGTCAAATTTATGCCATCTAATTAGCAATCTCTAGCCTAATCAGTGAGTGTGAGTGGCATCACTCACCTAAAATCTTCTTACGAAAGGGATGTTTGTTTCTGACCTGAAGATAAGAGAGTGCATTAACTAGGTGGAAGCTTTGAAGATTGAACATTAATTGATTATACTGTCATAATAATATGTCGAAGTTAGTGTTGTTTTTACACTTTCCTTATTAATTAGTTTCACGTGTCTAGTGTTGAGAAAAAAAGTAAGAAAAACGGATTTATTTTAGTGTATAAAGAAAGAAAAGACACTTTTTCCATAGATGAGGAACACACTTAAACTGGATGCAATCCATGATTTTGTTGCAAATCTTTTGCTACAAGCAAATGAAAGGCATTGCAGGAAAATGACTTTTGGAGCTTCCATACCTTAAATTGAAAGGAAATAACTTGAGTCATTGCCTTCATTCATGTGATTATCATCAAGGTTTAACCCTGCTCCACTCACTTCCTGACCTTCTGGTTTCTGATTCTTGAGATCAAGATCAGGGTGGATTTTCCTCTTCAACATCTTCTTCATCAGCTACAAAGCATTACAAATAACTTAATCAAATTAATTGAAGCAAATCGGCAATTTGTTGTTAACAGTTGTATTTGATTGGTTGAAGGTATAAATTTTATATACTGGTATAGAGATTAAACTCGGTTTAATTTTAGTTACACAAATGTTATATCAATGAAAATTAATTGAATATCAAAGTATTATAGCGCATGGTTTTTTCTCTTATAATAACTTACTTTTTTGATGTCTTTCATTGGATGAGGATTGTCCTTAACACGGGGAATGAGCTTCTTGGCAAAAGAGAGTCCATGCTTTGCTTTAAGGTTTGGTTTTTCACTTGAAGCAAGGTGGCAAACTTTGGCAGGGTTTAGCTTTATCTTAACATCAGAATCAGCTAAGAAGAGATCGGCCAATGTGATCCTCTCTCCTTTCTTCTTCTTTTCATCAGCCTCCACATCGTATGATTCCATGACGTCATAAGAAATCACAGGTGGAGCCACAACAATTTCGTTGAAACTCCTAACCGCATCCCCATCATCATAATTTTCACTAACAATATCCTCAAAATTATGCTCAAATGAGTTGTATATCAATGGATTAAGTTCCTCGTGCTCAGCATTATAGCACTTTTCCTCCTCCTCATCCACCATGATGCTGTTCTCTCCTTCACCATCTTCTTGTTCAACTTCAATTTCCAAAGCAAAGTATTCTTTGTGAGGGTTGATGGACTTCAAGGGATCATAACCAAGAGTGCCAATGGTTAGAATGCCATCTTCCCATCCACCAAGTGATTCAGTAAGGGCAACTTGTTTCAGCAAAGCTTGACTATCCGCGTTGTTAATTGTAGGTTCAGTCTTTTTCATGTTTGAAGCAAACCCATCTAAGTGAAAATCAAAAGATTCATTAGAAGAAAAGATGACACTGCATAAAAACAAAGCCTTATGTATCATGGCTGACAGGATCCCTGACTTGGTCAAATATTAAAGTTTCATCAGAGAATAAAAGTTCTCTCTCTTGAATAAAAGAAAAAGAACGACCACATATATACAGAATCATGAAGATTTGTTTATAGTCACCAAATTTGAAGCTTTTGTGAAGGATGTGATTTATTAAATTGCAAATGAGAGAAGTTATATATAGATAGAGGTCAAACCTTTCAGAGGGTTATGTTGAAACCTCTTGTGCACCCAATTGAAGATCTGTGACAAAACAATTCAAGAAGATAACATGAATACCTATGTAAGAATATAATGCTAAACCCCCAACCTACAGATAAAGAACAGAAGGAAAAGTAGAACAATAAATTGAAACTATGCATGAGAAACAAAATGGTTGCGTGCATGGTTTCAGTTCAATTCAATCACCTTCATTGTTTTTCTCGTTCAGAAAATCTGGCCAGAGAATGGGGCTGTGCTGGGTAATATTGAAATGGGGTGAGGGCGTGTTAAGGTCAACAAAATAAGGAACAGGAATAAAACCCACAAAGAGGACCAACATCGGTGGTTGAACTAGGCTGTGCCACGTGGTCACTGGCCCCCATGTTGCTCAGCCATGTTCATGTGTCCGTAGCATAATACGCTTGAAGAGTCGTCATGTTAGTCCTCTCATCAGTACTTGTTCACTTTCACGTTGTTGCACATGCTGATGGGAAGTTTTCATTTACACAAACGTTTGGTGTTGTTTGTTTGTTTTAGATTTTCGTGGAATTGGTTTTGCAGTACTATTGATCAATGTATAATTGATGAATGTATTCAAATTAATTTAATCACCAATTTGATAATGAAAACTACGTTACGGTGTGTGAAAGTATATTGATTTTGGTATAAAACTAATAGGTCTCTCGCTTGATGAATACTTTCTCTCTGTTGCCTAAGTTTAACCCAAAATGGGCATGGGTCATTTTAGCAAGCAGTTGGAATGCAATCTAAAAGCCAGTTTGTACTGGTCCAGCTCATTTCCTAATTAACTGTTTCCAGCGTATACTTCTCCATGAAATAATGTTTTGACCACCATGGATACTCATGCGTAATCAATTTGAGTAAAACACTATTTTACATGAGTATATTTTAATCGAGTAAAATAATGTTTTGATCACCATTAAAAATAATCTTTAATATTATTCAATTAAAGACAATTTTTTATAACAACTAACTTCATTTATAAATGAGTAAAAAGGGATTCTAGCTTAAATACATCAAAATAATATATAACTAGGTCAAAATGAAAGATACAAATAAAGACAAGTTACATCAATATAAGAAAGAGAACATTGAATTGAATACCATCTATCTTATAGCCTTAGACTTTATCTTCACAATCTAACATTTATTAAGTCCAAAACATCATTGAAATAAACGATAATTTCTTGATGTTCAATATTGTAATGTATACTAAATATAGATTATGCCTAATCACGTCAAAAATGGATGTTGAAATTGATGCAAATTTGTCCTGCTTTAAAGAGAGTTAAACATAAGATATAATCATGTTCTTAAGGAAATACTACTTTTCTATATCCGTAAACTCGAGTTAACAACATATTCTAAATAATGTGCAATATTATATGTTAAATATCACTATTTTAAATTAAATATAATATAATTTGATAACAAATTGACCACTCAAGTCTATAGATTTTGTAAAAGTCTATATAATGAAACCTAATTAACTAAGTTAAAAAGCTTAAACTTATTTTGTGGGGATTTTTTCTTCACTCATAAATGTTACAAAAAATTCATTCTTGAAAATGAGTGGTCTTTATATGTGTTTAGTGATGGAGTGTCACATAATGATTTTTTATTCAATGTGTAAATAGCTTTTTATAGTTATATGTAGATTATTTTCCATAATATAATATCATAGGTGTTTATAAAATAACTAGAACTATTGAAAATGTTAAATAAAACAAATTAAGAAAAAAGTTAAATGATTAAACTACACTTCAACAAAACTAATAAGTGAAAAGTATAACTCTTTTCTTTATAAAAAAATTAAAAGGTGAACAAAAAAATATCATCAACGAAATAATCCTTAACTGTTAAGAAAATGGATTATCTATATTTTACATATTAATCCATATTAATATAATATGGTTAGCAAATAAAAATGATGCTTTACATGTATACAAACTGGTCAAACCCTTCCACTAATTAGTTAACCTAAATAAGTTATATGGTTCTGCCATGTAACACAAACCATTACATAATTTTTCAATATTTTTAATGAAATTAAAAAAAAAATTGTTCGTAAATATTATGTTTTGTTTGGAACTGGTGACTGGCTACTGCGAGGAAAGAGAAAAGGAGGAACATGAGAGATAACGTGTTTTTTATTTTTTATTTTTTATGTGAGATTAATGAAGAAAGAAAAAGAAAAAGAATGTGTGGTAATTAATTTCTTACAAATAATTGATTATGTTAGATTTTGTACTGCTTTATATTTATAAAATAGAGCCATAACTGATTATAGAGATTTTATCTGTTTTTATTTTTTTATTTTTTTCTCAAATAAAAATAAAATAATATTAAAAAATAAATATTTAATAAAAAGAAATTAAAAATTATTAAAAATTTATATTTTTTACATTTTCTCCTTTCTTTTTAATTCATTTTTTCTCTCCTTCTATTTCTTTCATATCTGAAGCTTAATGTAAGTTTATTTACAAGTTTGAACATTGAATTGTCAAAGAATATCCGACCATGAGATATTGCTGGTTGGTGCAGAGTCACATTAATGAACTACATGCTGTTGTTATTTTCTATTCTATCGCAACGTAGGAAAACTTTTTTATGTCTCTGGACTAGGGTTTCATGCTCGTTATCCATCCAAACATAATTCAAATGAGAAATTATAAATTTAGCTCTTAATTCACCATGCTCTGCATTAGAGCTTGCTTACTGTTTAATTTTCATATCATCTTGCATTATTATCTTTTCTGCTTCCTAATAAATAACATTTCAATACCATCAATAATAATCGAATTGGACCAATTGCATAAGTTATCCCACAACACAGATAATATATATAAACTATCGAATTGGTGGTGAGATATTTGCGAGATATATTCACGTGTGATGTGTAACTTAGATTGGTGACTGTTGTAAGTGGGTCTCATCACAGTGTTTCTTTTCCTATTTTTGGTTAAAGTTGTATGGAAAAAGCTTTCTTTACATGGCCATGGCAAATCTACCCCATTTGATATCAAGATCTTCACGTACAAAATTAAGTACATTATAGCCATGGCAAATCTACCCCATTTGCATTTACGTGCTTGTAGATGAAGAAACTATATAATTATTGTGCAGTACATTATATTTTTCTTATAGAAGAGAAGAGTTGCTTCACTTAATATTTTGTTAGCTCTTAGTTTGAAGATTAAAATTGCTTTTTTACACAAATATACTTTAATTATGTATAAACATTTTGATTGCAACATTTATCAAATCATTGGACTACACCAGTTAGGTATTTATCTTCTCGCTTGTTTGTTGTCCAATACCGACGGTATAAGCTATAGTCCAACCAAGTCTTCCTCAATGTTGCAATGTCTGCCATAGCCACGTACTTTAATTTGAAGCCATTTTTTTATGGAAGATAATTGAGAATATATTCATATAAAAAGTAGGTCCATAATTCAGAGTGTGATTGTGTGAAGCTGAAGAGGGACAATATAGCAGGCAAAGCTTCCACGAGGGCAAACCAGACATTCACAAGAAGAATGTTCCATGAAAGTGAAAGCTTAGCTGGAGAAGGTTTCCAAGAAGGCTTAGCCAAGAGGAAACATGGTTAAGAAGCATTTGGATGGCATTCAAATGATGGTACTGCGTTTTGACTCATAGCTAGTTGTCTTGTTGTAGCATTGTGCAAATGCCTTGCACCAATTGGGATGCACCCTTCATCTATTGTCTATCAATGGGTCTTAGTGTTGCCTTAAAAACAAATAAATGGCTTTGGATTCTTGTCAAAGCTAACTGCTATTATCTCTGCCCAGCTAAAAGGGTGATAGTCAAGTGGGTCATATGATTATTGAGTACTTCCATGTTACTATCTTACAATTTGGCTCACAGTTACAGCAAATTCTGAGGAATTAGGAAATAAATCCATTGGATCTCCAATGATGGACGTCCATCGTTATAGAATCTCAGGTTAGAAACCAAGCAGATTTCATTAAACCATTTTAACAATCTTTTGAGGGTTCTTCAAATTTTCTCTGCAATTTTTCTTCTGGACAAAAGGGAAAACCTAATGGAAACTTACACCAAGTACATTAAACAAGACTTGTGGGCACAAAGGAGCTGCATGACCCCCTACTATCAGTATGACCAAGTTGGTCTAGTTGATAAAGATGATATTTATGTATAACAAGAACGTGGATATAAATCTCATTTCATAATGGATGATTTACAAGTATTTTTAGAAGGGTTTGTGGAACTATGAAGTCTATGCTGATCCTGATAAGCTCCTTACCATAGAAGGATTAGTGCATAATGGTTAGCTATCTAGTTAGCTTTTGAAATTTAAAAGTTATGTACGTATAAGAAAATACTAGAGACAGAGTAAACAACTAGAATAATGAGGTTTGGTTGAATGTTTAGGTTTGTAATGTGAGTGATGATGGGACTATGACATGCAGAGACACCCCGTACAAAAGCCACTGTTACACCGCTTTCAGGTTTGTCCACATGATCTTTTCACTTTCTAGCTTCTTTCCTACATCCCATTTTCCTTTTCCCCCTTTAAAGGCTACCTGCACTTCACTCTGACTAATTTGTTACCCATGCACAGTCTTCCTTGCCATGTTAACTATAAACGGTACACAAGCTTGCAGTTTGGATCTTCACCTAACTGGTTATTTTGTGGGGCATCTTGGTTCCATAATAATAAATTAAGCATGTGAAAAAGTGCCTATCCAAACAGCTGGCTAGGCTAAGTTCGTTGAAGGGTTCAAAGACTCAGAATGTTAATTCCAGTTTTAATTGATGCACCTTCTTCTGAGTTATTCTTATCTACTAGTTGAATAAGACACATGAAAATCCAACGGAATTCTGAATTTGAAAAGGTAGGGTCTTTGGTTTCAAGATACATTATCCGAATATGATTTCTCAGCGGTGATTAGGTTCAATGGTCCATTGGGATGCATGCAGGTCATGTTCGCATAATTGACCATATAATGAATGAAAGGCAAACCATTTTCTTAATCCAACTTCATTAACTTCTACTAAAATATTCACGGTCCAAAAGCTCTTCTTGTAGACCCCAATGAAAGAGAGTTTGAAGGTAATCACCCTTGTTCAATGCACATACAAGAATTTTTTGTCAACACGCAAGACCCACTTGAAAGTAATTGCTTGAAAACTGGGAAAGCATTACACATACAAACACTGTTAGTGAAATTTGGACAACCATTAGGGGTTATAAGCTCATGCCATTAGCATCCAAAATAAGGTCAAGGCCTTACTCAATCACTTCATAACGATTGGATTAAAATACGTAAATATGTGCTGGTATAGAATTCATTGTGAGTTTTCTTTCGTACGTAACACCATTTAAACTCTTCCAAATTTGACTATATACCAATTAAATTTTGTTTTAGGTCACTAGGCTCTGCATGCCTAGATCGTCAAGAATTTATCCTACCTTATCTTCATCGGTAGATACTTTCAAATACTGTCAATTCAGAGAGAAAATGACACTGAGTTTTAATATTTTGTGATAAATAATGAGTAATGTTGATAATTTATTTCCATGTTTGATTTGACCTCTTAGTTCTATTGGTCCCTTTGTTTCCTTTCTCAATCCTTTCTCCATAATGCGACGGTGATAACCTTTTCCTTCCTCACAACCCATTCAAAATTGTTTAATCTTACAATTAATGGGCGTACAAATAACGTATTTGAACCAACTTTCCGTAGATACTTTTAGGAAAAACAATATTTTTTTTTCATAAGTCAAAATTATCTTATTATTATGCTAATTTATGAAAATTCTCTCATTTAATTTTAAAAAATAATAATTTAGTTTTTACATAAACTCATTTTAATTTATAAAAAACCTTAATTTATTTATTTTATCTTTTATTTTTCTCTCGTAATAATATTATACAAACCTTTCTAATTAATGTTGAAATCTCGTAAATGAGTTAAAGCTTAATCTTATGGGATTATTTTTATAAGATTGGATTATTTTTTTTATTTTTAAGATGATATTAGAATCAATCATAGTGATGTTAAGACTATTAAAATATATTTTCTTTAATGAGGGATATAATGTATTGGGTTGACAAAAATAATATATTTTGAAAAATTCCATGTCATCTTGGATAAGGAATGAAATGTGTGATAGTAGTTATATAATGGACTTAAAGTCCATGATGTCTTGACATTCTAATTAAAAATACTTTAAACATATATTTAACTTTTCTTATACTTTTGTAATAAAGTGTTAAGAGGTTTAATTTAAATTCTTAATTTGAAGAATGTGAGTGTATTGAAGGTCAAAAGACATGAAATAGTAGTTTATATGTTGTGAAAATTTTCATATATTATTTTTTAGTTATCATTAGATAATGGTTGTAGTTTTTTTCCATCATGATGAAATCTTACATTAATTAATGATATAATAACGTTATAGAATATATGTAATTATAATCCTCATTTTACTCAATCAGTTTTATATGGTTGAGTTAGATATCTCACAATTTGTAAGATGGTATCGAGAACCAATTCTAGTAATATTGGAACATTATAAAAATTTTAACCAAATATTATAGAATCGGTACAATAATATTTTATAATCTTACCATGTTTTATTTTTTGGTTTCTCCATATTACAAAATTATCACTAATATATATATATATATATATATATATATATATATATATATATATATATATATATATATATATATATATATATATATATATATATATATATATTTGATATTTTATATTTTTGGTGAATAATAATTTTGTTTCAAATACTGACTTAATATATTTAATATATCTTGTATAATTATATTCATATATTATCCTCTAAGATTATGTATAAATTTGTGGACTATACTTAGAACTAGGTGAGATTTGATGTTCAATACATCAATTTCCTTATGTCTATTTATCAATTGAGATTTAATATAATCCAATGAATAATTTTAAATTTTCTTCTATTGATATATTTATTGACTGACAAACTCATATATATGTTTCTTATAATAAGGTCAAGACTTTTTATTTTTATTTTCATGTATTGTAGATAGAAAAAAGAGAAGAGAGAACATAGAAAACATAAAATTATGATATATTGAATTGTATTGCAAAAACACAAGAAATAAGGCATGATTATATACAATTTAAGACACCTAATAAGAGTAATTAACTAATTTATAGTTTTCACCTCAGCTAATAAACTAAATCTTATATTACAGTTAGAAGACCTAACATCTTTCTTATAAACAAAATAATTCCTCATGAATCTAAATACTTTAATCTTAGAAAATATTTTAAAGGACCAAAATTCTTAATTTTTTTCTAAATAATCTTATAATATTTTACTTTTCTCTTAATAAAAGATATAATTTACATGTATAATGCATATAATTATCTTATCTTCTTATTTCGATAAAGATAAAATACAATTTATTTAAATTACTTTAATAATATTCAAATATCATCATAAATTTTATAAATCATTCAAACCATATTCTTCACATTTTAACAGTTAATTATGTAAAAATATTTTATATTAAGATTAAAAAATCTAAACTATAAACTTTGCTTAGAAAACATCATTTGACACCTTTTACATGTTGGGTTTCGAGTAGCGAAATAATATTTTTTAGCTAAAATATATATATGAAAAAATTAGGAATTGACACTCAATATTTTACGTGAAAAACTCTCAACAGATAAAGAAATAACTACGGGCAAGACCAGAGAAAATTTTCACTACGTGGAAGAATAATTACAACTTCTCTCTAAATTAGAAGAAAAGAACAATTGCACCCTCCTTAATAAAATAGGGGAAATCACTTACTAGAAGAACCTCACAGGAGAAACTTTATATTCTCTCTGATTTAATCACTCTTGCTGGGATGATTTATCAAAGCATAGGAGGAAACCAATATTTATAGAGAAGAAGAGACTTCTCTTTTTTTTTTTTTTGCTTGGTATTTAATGCCACTGTAAAACTGTGATTATTTTCTTTCAATAGCTAACAAATAGCTCACAAATAGCTCCCTTATTTTGACTTCCACAAAAGTGGCTTTACGGTAACTGTATTCACAATCTCCCACTTAAAGTCGCTTTTGTGAGTTTCAAAATCTTTCTCTACTTGCCTGTTCCATGCTGCTTATGTTTCTAATAGACCATAGGAGGATCTGCACCAGATAAACTTATCAGAGTTGATTGAATTTGTCATAGCATCTGCTAGGTTATCTTTGGAATGAATCTTCTGTATATCCACACTCCCTTTCTTTACTACTTCTCTGAAAAAATGATATTGTACTCCTATGTGCTTCATTCTGGAATGAAAAACTGGATTCCTTGCAATGTGCAAGACACTTTGACTGTCACAATACATAGTGATATTCTGTTGCTTGTGTCCAAGTTCTCCCAATAACCTTTGAATCCAAAATGTTTCCTTGCATGCCTCGGTAGCTGCCATATACTCCGCCTCTGTAGTAGATAAAGCTACAACAGTCTACAATTTATATAACCAACTTACCGCTCCGCTTGCAAGGGAGAACACATATCCTATAGTAGATTTTCTTTTATCAAGATCACTTGCAAAATC